CGCAGGCTCTGCACGTCCCTCCTGGACAGCCTCACGCCCAGGTGAGTGCCACCCACGGCGCCGCCGCCGCTCGACACGACGTCGGATCTTGCAAAGAGTCGCCGCATCTGTTTCCGCAAGTTGAGCGCATCGCGTTGGGGTTTTTAATCGTATCCCAAGCGACGCACGTTGGTACGGGAAGAGAAGTCAGGTTTCCTAGAGAGTGGACTGCAGCAGATTCGCGTGTTTGTGATGAAGTTCACGCATTTTGTGGTTGTGTCATCTAGCACGACGATAGAATCATTGCAGTGATTGTATTTATAAGCAGTTCCAAACTGATGCTCGTTCAGGTTTCCATTCCCCGATTCGATTCTGGAAGCTGTGATACAAAGACACGAGCAGCCTGCCACTGTTTAGCTCTTTGCACTTTCCAATAGCTGCCTCCATCTATTACAAGGAGCATTGGCTCCGTGCTCGTGAAGGATCACCTGTGTGGGTGTGCGTGTGTGTCTCAGCTCCGTGTTGACACTCATGAAGGATCGCGTTGGAAGTCGTGTGCTGGAGCGCATCGTCGAGGTGGGCAACCCCAAACTCCTGCGCCGGCTGCACAAGGAGGCGCTGCAGGGGAAGCTGCTGCCGCTTGCGCTCCACCCCCTGGGCAACTTTGTGGTGCAACGGCTGCTGCAGTGTTGCAGCGAGAAGCTGGTACGCGATCGTGCTGCCCGCACGCGGCCCGCGACGCCGGGTGACCTACGAAGCACGGTCGGTCTCGCCGATTCCTCCGGTCTCCTGCGCTGCCGTCACCACCTCCCCCCCCCGCGCTCCCTGTCTCCGCTGCAGTTTCCCCGGCTGTGTTCCGAGCTGGTGCCGGCCGTGGAGGAGATCATGGCCGAGGGCCACATGGGCGTGGTGACGCGAATCGCGCAGGCCGCCGGGAGACTCGGCGTGCTGCAGAAGGAGTGTCTACAGCAGCTGCTCGCGGTGCGCCCCGCACGAGCCCCAGACGCACGCACACATGCACACATGCACACACGCACACATGCGCACGCATGCACGCACACATGCACACGCACGCATGCACGCACGGGCTCGTGTCACATCCTCGTGGTGCGCTGTGTAAACATCGGCACTGTGCCTTCCCCAAATGTTTTGCTGCTTTTCCTAAACTTGCATTTATTATTGAATAATCGGCAGGAATTGATGTACTTATGCAATTTGTACTAATATTCTGTTTTTTGTGACTTTCTTACCTCTTCTCTACTTTGTACTCCTATCGTTGTTTGTATTGTTTGTTGTAACTTTCTGACCAGCCTCTGCTGGACATCTGTAGACAAAAAGCTTCATAGCTCATCGGATTTCTCCAGGATAAATAAACAAAGATTCTGATTTTATACCTGTGTGTGTGTGCGCCATGATCTGCAGGCTTTCCACTGTGCGGAGAAGTCGCGGAGGAAGAGCTGTGCGCTGCCCTTCGCCTGCCTCGTCACGTGGGACATGCTCTACGGAGAGAGTGGCACTGAGCAGCCAGAGTCCTTTGAGGTGCGTCCTCATCCCCGCATCACCACGGCGTGCCGCGTCCCGTGCCGTGGCGACGGGATTGATTGGCTGTGCAGCGTCTAGCGGAGCCCACATTCACACCCGGGCTGTGACGTGATCTGAGAACTCGGCTCTCTATCGTGAGGTTGCACGATGCCACCCACCGCACCTTGCCTTCGTGAATGTGGGCATGGCATCCTTAACGGGCGCTCTCAGACAACGCTTGGCCTGACAGTCCTGTACCCCCCCCCCCCCCCCCCCCCCATCATTTGCGGTGCGCAGGTGAACTACCACGGCTCGGTGTTGCTGCAGGTCCTGCTGGGCTTCTCGGAGCCGGCGCTCGTGTCGAGCAGCCTCCTTGGCCTGCCGTCCGCCCAGCTCTCTGCGCTCTGCTGCTGCGCCGCGGGAAGCCACGTGATCGACGCATTCATGGGCAGTGGCACCGTGTCGCGCAAGCACAAGGGCAAGCTACTGCAGCAGCTCAAGGTAACCACGCTGTTCGGTCGCAAAATCACAACAGTTTGACTGCCCCTAGAGCGACAGCCTGAACGGGCACTCTCTCTCGCTCACACACAGAGCTGCTTCAACGTAGAACAGTCTCCCAGACGCACTAACATGTGCCTCCAGTCTCAGCTTAGTTGAATCTCCAATTAAAACTCGCACCACATCTGCAACTGTTACAGATAGAGTGCATTCCTCATGAACCGATGGCGTCCACCTGGCCTGTGCATCCTGGGATATCCAGCACGGAGCTGAAGCTTCCTTGATGAGAAGTGACCGTTGCGAGTGGAAGCTGATCACTCGAGTGCGCTGCCGTAATGTCTTTAATGACCCCACTGGGGTCCATCTGCTCTCCATGTGCACATCACCAACACTGGTGAGGTGCAGAGGCTCCCCATGTATCCACACCAAATCTGAACTCTAACCCATAGCAACGCAGAGTCCCGGGAGACTCGCCAAGTGTGTGTACCTGGAGTCCTCTTGCTCAGCTCACCAGTGGAGTCCTCTAACCCCACCTTTGTCGCAATCCCAGTGCGATCTACGCCGTGGTAGACAATACAGGGCCTGGTGTGCAGCAGGGAGAGACTCCAAGGTGACGGTGGCACGTGCTGCCTTGTAGCCAGGAGCTCGGGTTGAGGAAGTGAATTTGCAGTTTTCTTTTCACAAAAACAAAGATTGGATTCACAATGCGTTGAAAATATGAAAAAAACAGCCCCACTTGTTTAAGTTGCTTTTTTTAATTAACCAAGCACTGTGCAGCGTCACATGCTCGTATTTCAGGCGGCGACAAAACGATAAAGTCCCAGCGGCCGGCTCGGCGTGGTCTTGTCGATAGACAAACCTCCAGCGCTCGTTATTAGCCCAGAGAAGAAGGAAGCGTGCGGGGGAATGCAGTGCAGAGTGCATCGACGTGAAGCCGCCGCCGCCGCCGCCAAGGTGAGCGAGGGGCGGATGGAGGCGGCGAGCGTTTGTGGACACGCGCGCTCCGTGTCGGTGCCTCCACAGGACCAGCTCCGCACCCTGGCCACGAATAAACACGGCAGCCGGGTGCTCGACAGACTGTGGGCAAAGAGCGGAGTCAAGCAGCGGGAGGAGGTGGCGCAGGAGCTGGGTGGGTTGACACCTGTACACGCCACTCACCTGTACACGGTGCATCTGTGCATCTCTGGGGTCCCATGCTATCAATGTTTCTCTGGGCTCTGTGAGTCTATGGGGTCTGTGTGGGATGTCTGTATATGTATATGGAACCTGTGAATTTCTGTGGGGTGTGTGTGTGTCTCTGTGGTGTTCAGCCGCATGTTGGACCGATCTGCGCCGTGACCCCATCGGCCGCTTCGTGGTCAGGAACCTGTGCCTGGAGAATTTTGTTCGGCGGCCGGTGGAATGGAGGCAACACCAGGCATCTCAAGAGAAGAAACGCAAGGCCCTGTCTGAGATACTTGAGTAATGGCCGTGGGGCCACCACCGCGCTTGTTGTCCTTCCCCCGCACCTCCGTACGGTGGGAAATAAGTTCTACATACATACAATGGCCCTTGGTCATGAAGCCCAGGAGGACCAACGCTATACTCCATCATCACCATCGTCACCATCGTCACCATCGTCGTTGCCGTGGTCCCAGTCATCAGGGTCCATACATCGGGGACTGCCTGGCAAAATTAAACAATCTGGTGCAGGGAAGCCAAGAAATTCAATATATCAGAATCCTTATTTATCCTGGAGAAATCCGATGAGCTATGAAGCTCTTTTTCACAGACGTCTCACCATGGGAATGTGGCATTGATGTAATTCTCACGACCTCGGGAAGCACGCGTGCATGCCAGCGCTCGTTCACGCTCGGTGACACTCCCGTGCCGAGTGAATACGCGCTGCTCCATGCTGTTAAATAAACCTCGCTCGGTTTTGGAAAGTATTTTTAATGGGTTAAGTTTTCTGCGAGAATATATGCCTGACTTTTGTTAGCGACACGTGTGAATTTTGTACTCGTAAATCGGATCTGTTACTATTACACAGCCACACTTTCTTAAGGCCATTAAACTATACTTCAATGCCGTATTGCAAGTGTTGTTATTTAGTCACAACGATCCCAGATTGAGTTGATGATCTCCAAAGTAATTACACTAAAATAAACTAAAGTTTTCATTATTTATGACCTCAAAATCACCGTATACATTGACATGACCGCGAATATCGTTGACATTTCTCATCTGTAATTATATACTGTACGATGCATATTCTAACAACGCCCCAATTTCACTTCACCCACTTGGCCACGATGGATGTGTGAGGTGGAAGGACCAAGTGCAGCTCTGCACTCCTACTTCCCCAGGCACGAGCGCGGTAAGCCTCCAGCCCTGGGAAATCCTGTCCCGTGTGATGTGGTCAGGCGTCACCACAACGCCAACACAACCTGTGAGCTTTGGAAGGTGGAGTAGTGGACCTGGGATACCACCCAAATCATGTTGAAACGACCATACAGCACCGATGAAACTGATTCAATTATTTGTTAAAGTATCCACGCCGTGAAATATTGTACTCGTTATAAATGTCATGAGTGACCTCTTTAATTGGGCAGATCTGTTTTCTGCCATGGATACAATTGTTTTGTTTCCACACATCTCGGTTGACAGACCAGGCCAGCTCCTGTGGCACTGCTGCCGTAAGACAGCGGTTGAGAGGGCTTCTCGGTCACTCACGGCGCTGCTCAATGTGCCCATCCCGTGTTGTCAACCCATTGGTGGATCAGGGCTTCCCCCCCCCCCACGCCGCACGGGTCGCGAAGGGTGTTTCAATGGCTACTCCCCACGCTGGTGGGCCTGGAGTGGTGGCAGGGGAGCGAGAGATCGGTGGGTTGGCTGCACCGCCCTCGAATGACCATGGCACCCACATCCCACTTTTGTCCACGCTGGCCGCCTATGCTAGCGCTGCTATCCAGGCTCATACCAGCTTAGCTTCCAAGGTCTGATGGTATTGCGTGCTTTATTTATCAGTTACGCGATATAAATTCAACCAAAGTTGTCATTTTTATACAAAATTTCACATCCACAAACGTTCGTTCAACCCAGAAAATCCTATTCTCAAGTAAACATTGCAAACACAAGGATAAGGTAATCAAAAAAATGTTGCACATATACTGCATTATAATTCAACATTACATGCCTTCGCTGTGTTTCAGTGCAAGAACAGTCAAATGTAAAGCGTATAACATTTGCAATGGCAGCACCACTGTTCATGATCTCGGCAGCAGCACACCATTTGCCAGCGTGCTTCTGTAACACCCAATCCTGGAGCCTGCACCAAGCAGGGCCCGAGTTGTCCAGCCGGGGGAGGGGGCTTCGTGACGCCCATGGCGCCTTCCTTGCCACTCCCCTGGCTCGGGATCGGCTGCCGGTAAGTTTCTCATCCTCGGAATTTCTATGAAAGTCGAAATAATTTCCATATTTTCTGGATTATGAGGTACACTTTATCCTCTATTTTAAAGCAAACGTCACGTGTGTGGGACCATATCTGTTGTAAATGTGTTGATGCCAGGCACAAGTGTTGGGGTGCATCTTGTAATCGGAATAGGGTAGTGCAACTTCATGAGAAGAGGGTCGTTCCTCATGAAGTTGCACCGTAGTAGTTTGTGGTGACTTGGCTCAGACTGGAAGCTTTGATCATTTCAGCGAATCTGGTAACTCAAACGTAACTTGGGTCGTGCCCTTCGTCTGGCGTGAGGAGCCCCTTGCACAGGAGATTGAGGACGTCGTAGTGCTTGACGTCGTACAGCGCCTCCAGCAGGCTCGGCACGCTGGCAGCGCGCGTGCTCGCCACGCGCAGCAGCTGCTCCGCATTGCCCAGCAGCAGCGCCTCGTCGCTCGTGATGCCCAGGCGGTGCGCCAGCTTGGACAGCAGATTCTGCTGGCTGCCTCCGCTGCTGGCGGTGAGGGAGGAGTTGAGCTTGAGCGTGAGCGCCTCCCTCAGCCTGAAGTCGAGCGAATCGATGGCCATGTCTGCGCACATGTCCACAGGGGGCAAGCCGCACGCGCCCGACGTTACTGCCGTGCCGAGCGGGCCTGGTGCAGGAGCGGGGTCCGCAGGCTGCAGTCCGGGCAGCTCCTCCTCCACACCAGCGGCGGGTGGTGACGTCGAATACACTGGCACGACGGGGCATACCAGGACTCACCTTTAGTCTTCTTTAGGGCACGTCTGTATAGGTCTTCTACACGCTCAATCATTCTCTGAAAGAAAGCGGGACACAAAGTTTCTTGAATAAAAAACACGTCCCGTGTCTAGCAACAGCACCGACCAAGTGTAAGGACAACACTGAGACTCTGTAAATGTGCAGCAGACTGGCTGAACTAAACCATTTCAGTTCTTTGCATAAAGTCTACAATTTGTGGCATTATCTCAAACGTTCCAGAAAATAACGCCACCTCAACATTTAAAAGATATCGTAGAGCACCTTGCCTACAAAACATTACATCTCACAAATCCGTCCACGTGGCACGATCAACATCTCCGCCTGAACATTGTGCCAACACCCAGTTTCTCCCACGTGACCCAGTTGCGTTTGCGAGCCACCACAGACCACCAGATTCCCATTCTCAAAAGCAGTGGCTGCATCGTAAACAAAGAGAGTGAATGTTACAAGCTAAGGATAATAAAGGAGAAAGTAAGACACAATTTTGATGTGAGCAAAACATTTCATCAAAATAACAGCAACTTTGGAGCAGACGCTCAGGCAGCCATCCAGGCGGCATCATCCATCCAGCAGAAACCGGTTCAAATGAGTACAGATAAAGCAGAATGGTATCACATTCACAATTGCCTTTCTACATATTACAGGTGAAATGGTGTGGCTAAGTGCTTTCGTTGCGAATGTCAAACGAATATCAAACATCCAAACAACTTTCCTTCGGTCGCCTACCACTGCACAGAGCACAACATGCATCTTGTACCCACTGGCACGGTGCCACACCAGACACTCACAATTCTCCTTGATCCCTCCGGCTTGATGGGCACCGTGGGAAGGATACTGCAACAACAACGAACAGCAGCAGCAGAATTATCTCAAACAACTGTCCTCTACGCAATCCGGGCGTGCATTTCACTGGTGGAACAACATGGGAAGTCGATGCAAGGGTGCTGAGCACGACCCATTGACGTGACTTCTCAAACAGATTAGCTAGTGCAGTCCTTGCTGGATGAAGTTCATGCCATCTACATCACAGATGCAGGTTACGGTGGGTGTCCCTTACAGAAGGATATGTTGCTAAAAAAGGCCGTGTTCATTGTGAAGTCAGCAAGGCATAAGAGATGTGTTGGAGAGTAAACCCACAACATTTACAATTCGAGTATGACGTTTTGCTGGTGATTACAACAGTGCCGGATGATCCTAGTAGCAAAAGTAGCATATGCTACGGACCCCGCACTTTCAAGGGTCCCGCGCTCAATGCTTACAAGCTATTAATTCCGGTTCAGTGATTCTGTACTTGCTCTATTACTATAGTACTATACTGCCTTCAACTTTTTATGAACGACTCGGTGTTTAAGGTTAGCGATTTGTCGTATTATCTGGCTGTATAGCAAATGAAAAAATACAATTACTTTACTGTGCAAGTAAACAATGTGTTCTAATATTTATGGGTTTTTTTTATTTAGGGCCCCATTATAACATATGCTACAGGCCCCGCACTAGCTTAATCCGCCACTGGATTACAACCAAGCTTCAAGCGTTTAGCCAGAATTGTGACGAAGTCTTCATCTTTTGGTCTTAAATAGGGTAACGGTGATGTCACCTTCTTCTTCTTTAGTGCTGCCTAACGGCGTGTGCGACTTCACGATGATATTGGTCCCGGTCTAGCACGGCGTGTAGAGTTTGTGCTGTTGTTAATTGTAGCCATGTTTTGATGTTACTGAGCCATGTCGTTTTTGGCCGTCCTGGTCGTTTTTTCCCTTCGATTTTTCCTTCCAGGATTTGCTTTAATAGCTGGTATTTGTGGTCGTTTCGGGCAATGTGGCCTAGGTAGTAACACTTCCTGCTAATGATGGTCTTCAGCAGTTGCCTGTCAGTGCCCATATCTTGCAGAACTTGTGTGTTGGTGGTTTTGGCTGTCCATGGGATTTTCAGCATCCTTCGATACAGCCACATCTCGAAAGCTTCGAGCCTTTTTGTTGCCGTTGTTGTCAATGTCCACGTCTCTACTCCGTACAGCAAAATTGACCAGATGTAGCATTTCAGTGTGCGCAGTTTCAGTGATGTACTCAAGTTGCGGTCTGCAAGGAGTGTTTTCCATTTAATAAATGCTTGCCTTGCTTGTTCAATTCTGCTCTTGATTTCGACTTCATGGTTCAACTGATCGTCAATGATTACACCAAGGTATTTAAATCGGTGTACTTGTTCCAATTTTTCGCTGCCAAGCTTGATTGTTATTTTGCTTGTAGTTCGGCTGACCTTCATAACCTTTGTTTTCTTTTTATTAATTCGTAAGCCCCATATTTGACTCTCTGTGGCAACCTCGTCCAAGATTTGTTGTAGGTCCTGTTCCGAATCGGCCAGCAGTGCAGTGTCGTCGGCATACCTGATGTTGTTGATGTATTGTCCATTGACTTTAATACCAATGTTTTTATCTGCTAGTGTTCGATCAAAAATCTGCTCCGAGTAGATGTTGAAAAGACTGGGTGAAAGTGGGCAGCCTTGTCGTACACCTTTTTGTATTGGTGTTGGGTCTGTCAATTCGTTGTCATATCGGAGTTGGGCTGTTTGCTTCCAATAAAGAGCAATGATGAAGTTGATGTCGTTTTTATCTAGTCCCAGTTGTTTTAATAGAGCTGCTAGTCGGTCGTGGTCGACTGAGTCAAAGGCTTTCTCGTAATCTATGAAGCAGATGTACACTTCTTTCTGATGTTCGTAGCATCGCTGTAGTAGTATCTGTAGACAGAAGATTGCTTCTCTTGTGCCTAGTCCTTTGCAGAAGCCAAACTGTGTGTTCTTCAATGCATTTTCGCATGTGGAGCGTATGCGCTGTTGGATCACCTTCAGGAAGACTTTCAGCACGTGGCTCATCAAGCTTATCAGTCTGTAGTCCTCGCATTTCCGGCTTGTTGCTTTCTTTGGTATGGCCACAAAGATGGATTGTAGCCAGTCGGATGGAATTTTATTGCCAATGTATATTTGATTGTACCAATTAGTCAGTTGTCGTATGTTGTTACTGTCTAATAGTTTGAGCAATTCTACATGGATTGTGTCGGGCCCGCACGCTTTGCCTGACTTAGCTGTTTTGATTGCATGTTCTACTTCTGATGTTAAAATGTGTAGAGCGTCTTTCGACATCTGTTGGTCTTTTTCTGCAGGTGTTCTCGTGGCGCCATAGAGCTTGTGTATATAGTTTGTCCAGGTGTCCATTTTTTCTTGTTTATTTAGGATTGGTTGGTTGTTGTCCGCATACAAGGTAGCTGTTGGGGCTGGTCTGTAGATGTTACCAGCTTCTTTGAGCTTCTTGTGCAGAATAAAATTGTCATGTTTTTTAATTAGTTCTTCCATCTCGGCGCATTGTTCTTCCATCCACTTTTCTTTTGCCTGTCGGATTGCTTCTCTGATCTTCTGTTGCATTTGTTTGTACTTCTCCAAGTTGTTGTTTTTGTATATTCTTCGTTGGCTCATTAGATCGAGAATACAATATGTCATCCATCGTTGTTTCTTTTTCGGTGGCTGATGTCCCAGCATGACTTCTGTTGTTTCTGTGATGCATTGTTTGAACGAGCGCCAGTACTCCTGAACATCTGCTGTTTCTGTTGTTATTGAGCGGATGCTATCGTTGAGATGTTGCTGTACTTGTCTTTTATCGGCGCTGTCACCAATGTGAGCCTATCACGTGCGAATGATCCACTGGCATTTATATGACTCCATTAACCCTCCTCTGGTCTTCGCATGCAATGTGGGGTTACTCTCCAACACACCGGTGTGCTCAAGTACAGGAGTAACTCATTGGCACCTTTTATTTACGTGACAAACCTTACTAATTCGCTGTGTCGAGTTGGTGGCGGGTTTAACGACACATTTATATTTACGCGATTCAACTAAAAAATACCCGTTATTATGGCTAATATTGGTCGTGAACGCCGACCACGTGTTTAACTGAGCAAGCTACAAAAGTGTGTGCGGTCTCAGGCCTTGCCACGTTGTGCCTGGGAGGCACTGTCCAGGCTCTGCTTTGAAGGGGTCACGAGATGGGGCGCATTGCGGGAGAATTGGTCACAGGGAGGTTGGGGAGCGCCGGCTCGGACGGCGGTCCATGAGAAGTGGTGCAGGCCTGCACCCACTCCACTGGTCCTACACCCACCCCACTGGGCCTACACCCACTCCACTGGTCCTGCACCCACTCCACTGGTCCTACACCCACCCCACTGGGCCTACACCCACCCCACTGGGCCTACACCCACCCCACTGGGCCTACACCAACTCCACTGGGTCCTGCACCCACCCCACTGGTCCTACACCCACCCCACTGGTCCTGCACCCACTCCACTGGTCCTACACCCACCCCACTGGGTCCTACACCCACTCCACTGGTCCTACACCCACTCCACTGGGCCTACACCCACCCCACTGGGCCTACACCCCACTGGGTCCTACACCCACTCCACTGGTCCTACACCCACTCCACTGGGCCTACACCCACCCCACTGGGCCTACACCCACTCCACTGGGTCCTGCACCCACCCCACTGGGTCCTGCACCCACTCCACTGGTCCTACACCCACTCCACTGGGCCTACACCCACCCCACTGGGCCTACACCCACTCCACTGGGTCCTGCACCCACCCCACTGGGTCCTACACCCACTCCACTGGTCCTACACCCACTCCACTGGTCCTACACCCACCCCACTGGGCCTACACCCACCCCACTGGGCCTACACCCACTCCACTGGGCCTGCACCCACCCCACTGGGGCCTGCACCCACGGAGGCGGTCTGCCACGTGATGGTTGCGCCAAACTCATGCAGACAGTGCTAAGAAAGGAGCGACTTTAGGGTACATGAAAAGCAGACTTGTGTTCCTGCTGGGTGCGCTCCAGTTTCTCAAGCTGCTGGGCCTCCTTGCCAAGCGGCAAAGGCTCCTCAAAGGGCAACCGCGTGAACATCGTCTTCAGAGCCTGAAGTAAACGAGACTACTCTGTTCATAACGACCCAAAGGAGGTCAGCTCGGAATCTTCCCGTGTGTTCTCACCGCGTGTCCCCTCAGGAGGAGGCTCACCGCCAACGTGCTGGAGCTCACCTGGGCCCCATGGAGGCGCGCCTGCTCTCGATGACTGGCGGCTCCTTGTGCGGAACGGCCTTAATCCAGGGATCCTGGCCCGGATTCTTCTGCCGATTCTCATCACTGAGGGAAAAATAAAACTCAAAAACATGAGGCTAAAAAGAGTTATACATTGAAATCCATGAACATTCTTGCTCATCATTATTCACAGGCACGAACTGGAAACTCAAGAGAGTGCAATGGCTACTGCCAAGGACACAAGCTTCGTGCTTGTGGGACGGGGCTCTATGTACTGTATCAGGCCATTTCTGTAGGATTGTTATAAATTTAATTATCGGTGAACGTGCAGTCAGCGACTGATGTGCACAGTATAGAGGGCACAAGCTGCTGCTGTGCAGTTCTTCCTGTGTGGACTCTGTGACGCAATAACTAAACCAGCGTGCCACTTGTGTTGAACAAATGCAGCTGAAAAGATGCACTCCCAGAAGGCTGTGTGGCCGATGGGATGTGTAAATATCTATTTTTAATGTACCTGGAAAGACAAAGAGAGAAGTGTGGCGTGATTGATAATTGTTACGTCTGCAATGAAATCTGCATCAGCCGCCAGTCCCTCCTCCAAGGCAGTGTGAAGCATGCCCCTCTCGCTCGGCCACTGACAGGACAGGTAATGGCATCTCAGGAGCACGCGTGCTCCTTACGTCCATGTATTCGTATCGAAGGTTCGCGGCTTCTCGACTGCTCTGTCCGAGCAGACGCAGCGATCGTGGGTTGCCTCACCTGTCAGAATCATCCTTCACGAAGTTTGGAAATTTGACTTGTTTCACTCCAGAAGTTTGACCTAGGGTAAAGACGCAGCCACAGAGACCTGCTCATGCTCCCGCCTCTAAAACACAATGATACATTTCATACTCTGGTAAACTGTGTCCAAATTGAGTAAGCAAAGTTAAACCACCCCCCTTAAGAGGATTAAGTATGATTAAGTATTATTTTGTAGGTACATCGCTCTACTTTGTGCCTCTGGTTGCCCAACAGGTTGACACTTTGACAATGAAAATGGTGATCTTCATAACGAACTCTCTGGTGCGAGTTCGGTTTGAGGACGTTGCATTCAATGGCGACCACTCCATCACAAGTCCTGCCCATCGACCATCAACCCTTCTTACTGACACGTTCTGCACGAGTCCACTTTACTGTTTGAACGATGTCATGAACCTGCATAGCGCGCCCCCCTCTCTCTGCCTCTCAATGCGATTCCAAGCACGCATCTCCTTGCTTCATTGACTACTTTCCACTTCCATGTATTTTGCGAGTTACCGCATCCTGGGGACAAGGGCTGCTGTGTTACCCAGTTGTGGCCCTCTGAGAGAAATCTGCCACTGTTTGACAAACCCCTTGTCCATGAACTTTGATTTGCTCAAATTAGGCGCCTAAATATGCTTTGCTTTATACATTTTTATTACATGAACATTGCATAATTGAAGCTTCAGTACAAACCACACATGCATTGAATTTTTGTTACACAAATGACATGGTCGCAATATAATCATTTACAAGTAGCTGTAATAATTTTTTACTTACAACAATTTACAGTAGATTTAATCGATGGAAATTAATTACACCATTATTGTTCATGCCAGTGACTATGAAATTAACGAACTCACCATTTTTCTTGTCGCTCTGAAATTAAAAGCAAAGATTAACCATCACATCGTGTGCATTATATCACTGGTTCACTTGCTGGCGAATGCCCCTTTTGAGTTTGGCGGTGGGAATACGCTCACATCTCCATCGCCAACAGTGAATATATAAAAAGTGATGCGTTGCAGTCATCCTGGTGAATCTGCCTCTTAACCAGTCACCTCTTAAACATCCACACAGACGTGTGTCTGCGTGTCCGCGTGGAGAGGCTGAGCCGTGATGAAGACACCCCTGGGTCCGTGCCCTCTCCATTCCCCGAGAGCACAGCCAGGGGTGGAGGAGATGCCGATTATTCCACTCCTTTGTCCAGGAAATGCTCCCCGAGTCTCAACTCTTTTTAAGGAATGTCCTACCAAGTTTTTTGCAGGAGGGGGCGAAGTGCAATCCCAATTTAGCCGGGCGGTGGTGGTGCGTGCCCGTGGAGGCAGCGAGGGTTGGTGGACCGCCGCACACACAAACGTTGTGAAACTCCCTTCCCGTGGGCGTGGAGGTGCCAGGCTCTGGCTCGCCAGGAGACGGTGGTACAGCACTCGCGTGGACTCGTGCGGACAACTCGCCGGGCACAACGGATCTCGCCACTTTACGGCAGTAAACAACGTCATGCGGCCAAGGAGAAGCGCTTCTCACGGAAATTATTTACATGGAGGATTGGCAGGCTCGCATCTGGATGAGAGAAAGCTGAATGTGCATCGCCGATCACGGGGGCACTGGTGATACCCATCGACTTTGTATCGGGATGAAGAGATCGTTTTACCTTATCGGATTTCCTGTTGGCGTTGTGTTGAGAGCGGCCACTGGGGAAACAGAACACGCGGTATACGGCATGAGAAACGTTCACGCAAATGTATGTTAATCACAGAAGCACACTGCGTGTGTCCGGCAGTGTGTGGCAATCGAATCTCCGTCTCGTCCAGGGGATGTCACCACTCGTGAATGAGTGCCCAAACCCACATCGACTGTCTCTCTGTGTAGAACCACTTCCCATTTTTAACTCGTGTAGCTCCCAACGTAAGCTAATTCTAACCAGAATTTGAATATATTGCCTTATAAAACACATGGCCAGCGCTCATGTCAACTGAACTAATCATTTTGAATGAGTTTTGACTAATCTCAAACATTGTTATACAGTTTTGGAAACACCTTTTAAACTTACTCGAATGCTTGCAATCTGCTAACACGACATTTAAAAGCAGATTGTAACACTGCCCTGGGAAGCCTTTGGTTGGACGAAAAGAGAATGGAAGATAACTCACGATTTCAAAGAGTTCAAAAGGTCTTGGCAATGCTCGCACTTGCAGTTCTTCAGCTTGTCGCAGACGCTTGGGAAGGTGCTGTGGCGTCGTTGATGCAGCAGCGGTCTGACAGCCATGAACATGCACAGGCGTGAGCCATTAGTAGTGAGCTCCACTCATCACTCAGCCATTAACACGCAGGCGTGAGCTGTGAGTGGTGAGCTCCACTCATCACTCAGCCATGCACAGGCGTGAGCTGTGAGTGGTGAGCCCCACTCATCACTCAGCCATGAGCAGGCGTGAGCTGTGAGTAGTGAGCCCAACTCATTCACTCAGCCATTAACACGCAGGCGTGAGCTGTGAGTGGTGAGCCCCACTCATTCACTCAGCCATGCACAGGCGTGAGCTGTGAGTGGTGAGCCCCACTCATTCACTCAGCCATGCACAGGCGTGAGCTGTGAGTGGTGAGCCCCACTCATTCACTCAGCCATGCACAGGCGTGAGCTGTGAGTGGTGAGCCCCACTCATTCACTCAGCCATGCACAGGCGTGAGCTGTGAGTAGTGAGCCCCACTCATTCACTCAGCCATGCACAGGCGTGAGCTGTGAGTGGTGAGCTCCACTCATCACTCAGCCATGAGCAGGCGTGAGCTGTGAGTGGTGAGCTCCACTCATAACTCAGCCATGTATAAGCAGGTGTGAGTTTTTATGCACAGCTCCAGAGACATAGATCCCCTGTATAGCCTGAACATACTTTTGGGGCAAGTGCTGTTAATGAGCACCTATTAAGGCCGGTACAGTACATGAAGAGGTGGGTGGCTAGCACCACACCGCCTTTGTCTCCCGAGTGCTGATGTTTTACAAATCGTACCAGGTACTCATTTGAGGCTGATTCGACTTAGGGGTGGCCCAGGACCGTATCAAATATTCACCACTGTAAATGGTTGTGAGCGGGAATCAAACTCGATGTACACTAGCACGTATGGTATGTTTGTCTCATTTGAGAGGGGGGAGTTACAGAGAAGGAAATGAAATGCTCAGGGTCATTAAAATGAACATTGGTGTGCATCTGTTGTGACTCAACTGCCGTCCACTCATGTGCGACTGTCCTGCTGGATCGAACGTGGCCTCCTCAGACGGGCTGTACTGCGAGTCTCTGGAAGTCTTCCTCCTGAACCAAAAGAGCAAGACAAGATGTTCGGCACGTCGATACGCTGAGCCATTTAAGCGCCCAACAAACGCACATCCTTACATCTTTACCGGATAAGCACGATCAACGAGAACAGCCGGCGCTGGGCTCGTTATGCTGCAATTTACCTTCCTGATGGCAAGAGCGGAATTGTGGCTTGTGTAGCTGCAAAGAAGACAAAGATTTGATACATTTAGTTGTGTTGGTGCTGTTGAGAAAGTAGTACATTTAAAGAGTGCTGGCCGGGTACTGAGCATTTTTTTCATGTTTTAAGTTTTTGAGCCGGCTGGCCAGGATTGGGCAAATCCTCACCCACTCGAGTCAATTCAGAGCGGCTGCTTCCACCACGTCAGTTCACAAGCATCAGTGCAGGACACGCAATGTGCAAATTTAATATTTCATTCAGGTGCCTTAAATGTATCAATAAAACCTCACCGACCGAGTCTCGAGGTTCTTTTTCAGGAGAGTCCTGCGTTGGGACGTTTTGCTAATTGCTCGATTGAACGAGCGTCCCCATTGGGCAAGGTGGCGAGCGTCGCCTCATCATGGCGCTCGCCAGCGAGTGGAGATCTCTCCCGAGTGTGCCGTGACGTGCGCGGTGCGTCCCCGCGCGCTGCTCTCACCCGAGGTCGCTTGGCAGCCGGTTGAGATCCTCCGACACCAGGAGGCCACCGGGTTCACGAGGCGGCCAGTGGCCCGCCGGCGCGGCCCACAGACCGCCCACACGACCAGGACCGCCAACAGCAGCAGCACACCCAGCAGCATATAGAACAGCGGCCGTATATGCTCGTGGGATGAAGTTGGCACTGCAAGATGACACGAGGGCAACAGGCGTCACCTCCAATCGTCTCCACAAGAAATGAGAGGGTGGTTAGACAAGACCCACAACGCGACGGACACCAATGGTCACGGCGCAAGCGGTCAACGGCCCACGGTCTGCGTCCGGCACGTGGCGCGGCCTTGGCCGGCGCAGTCACGGCCGACGTGGTTCTGACTGGCTGGCGAGCGTTTGCGTACCACCGCCGCTTTCCGTCGGCTCACACCGGGCTGTTCACCGCGAGCTGGCTACAGTGATGTCGCGTTCATTCTGATCCTCGCCCATGGAGATTAGCGCCGCCACATTTCTCATTAGAACCGGGAGCGACATTGACGTTTGACCGATAACGAAACATTTGCTGTCACACCTTAGCGGCGTGAGTGAGAATACTCACCGGCATGGGGGATTCTGGCGTTTGCGGTAGCGCGAACATCCCCACATTCTAGAGGAAACACACACATAATATAGAGTGAAATATGGCATAAGCCAGCAACAATCACGATTCTAAACACTTATCCAGAAAACTCATGGATTCTGACAGATTCTTCATGCCCTAAAGTTACCTTGTCCATGACTTCAATTTATCTGTGCTGCTACTTCAACAAACGTCTCAACCCATGCATCGCAAAATATTGCAATATAGCGAAGTTTAAACCAGCACAATGACAAACTGGCCATTGGTAAAAACGCATCTGTGGTGTAAACAACAAAGTTATAGCAGATGTATCAACTTTTAGGTTCCGGGAGCTTCAGTCGGGCTATAAACATCTCAAATGAAATAGATAATCAGACCATATCTCCGTTTTATATAAAGAATACTAATGTATTCTTGACACAACCCATCGGCTCTGTGGCCATCTGGGAGTGAAATATTTCAGCAGCATCGTTTCAGTCAAAGTAAACTCTGGACCGATTTCGACACGCAGTGTCTCATCATCAGCAGCATCATCATCAGCATCATCAGCAGCAGAGTCCGTGCTGATGGACATCTGTGACGAGCCAGCGAAGTCTCTCGCACCGGGGAACTCTGTTGTTGTGGCTCTCCTGCAGTCGCAGCACTCGCTCCTGTCGTATCTGTTGCTCGAGTCCGGGGACAGCAACGAGCAATGGTAGAACCTGCCGAGAGCGACGCACACGACCATCAACAATCTCAAGCCATCGGAACTCAACACATTCGTCAATCCTATCTTTCATAGAATTATGTAAACAGACCCTTATTCCGAGGGGCTTTACAGCAATCATATAATTGTACTTAAGACAGTGGTTGAGATAATAAAGAGCGGGGTTATTAAAAGTGGAGGTGTCGTTATGGTGACAGGGGAACAGGCAGGAGAGGTCAAGGAGTGGGTTGGGGTGGGCCTGGTCGTAGCTAGGGGGTGGGGGCAGGGAGTAGCAGTCGGATGGGCTAGGCCGCTAGGGACAAGAGGAATATACATCATAGCACCTCCACAATGAAGAACGGACATTTTCATAAATAACACCTATTACATGTTTATCCCTTTTAGGGTCACGGCGTTATTAACGGATGTGTGCAGTTATTGCTATTTATGCTCATGCACCGCTGCCAATGCAGCACCGCTGCCAATACAGCATCGCAAACCATCGTTTCCTGCGCAGTCAAAGCAGAGGAACAGTGGGGCTTGGAGGAGACCACGTGGTCCCCGAGCAGAGTGGCCAGGGAGGGGGGGGCGGGGATCTTCCAAGGAGATCGAGGCAGTGGCAGAGGGAAGACCCCAAAGGGGATCCAGACAAAGGGGGATGAGATCAGCGCAGCAGCAGCACGCGGATGGACCGTGGCTGACTCAGCGACGAGTGGCTGCTCACTGAGCAAAGGCAACGACAAGGGAATTGAAACGGGTGGTGGTGGTGGAGCGCTCACCCGGGCAGACACTCCCCGCAGACCGAGTCGCGCTGCTTGTCGCCGCCCTGCTGTGTCTTGGCGTTGTAGAGTTCGCAGTCGACGTGCGGCTGGCACTTGCCATAGCCCAGTTTGTCGCTGTAGTAGCCCGCGGGACACGCCTCGCACGTCGTGCCTTCCCCATAGTCGTGGCCGCAGACCTGCACGTGGCACGTTCGCGACCCGGGCCGGTGACCCCCAGGTCGGTGTCAAGAGGTCAGTGGGCCCTTGCTGTGAATCCCAGCACACGGCTCACCGCCACTCCCCGCCAACTCGCACAGCTGTTGCTTGGTCGGCATTCCACATCCAACGAGTTTGGCATGGAGCCCTTCCCACAGTCGACTCAACATGCTCATCAGTAACACTGTGGCGTTAAAATAAAACAATTATATTCGGCCAGTTATCAATGAACCTGCAATTGTAGAATGTGATTGTGGTAAAATACACACGTAATTATAAAGATCAACTTTAGGGATTCAGAGGTTCGTGGATTGATGGATTAAAATCAATTCCAGTTGCTCTCAACAAGTGTATCGAGTAACGGGCATCAGAGTAGATGCCAAAAAAACCTCGTGGTTGCGTTTTCCTGCATGCATCTCTCTTTCTAGATGACCTAACAATCCAGAGTGCGTGTTTCTCTTTCCACTCATCACGAGGCGTGTGCAATTAATGTGTAGACGTGGATGGCGGTGGGGCACATGGGGTAGTGACGGGAAGCGTGGCTGCGAAGAACCAGATTGTCTGATTCGTTGGTTTGAAGCGCAGCACCTGATTGGGCTCCTCTCCTGGGGGGCACTGTCGGCAAGGCTGGCACAGTCCGTTGGACAGGAACTGGTGCTCCCCACACATGGGCGCGCGTGCAGCCACGCAGGTGACGAGCTGCCGATACAGAAGATGCGGCGGTGAGCAAACTCGACGGACGTTGCAGCTACCAGCCGTGCATACCCTGGCTCGGGATGGTGAGGTCGGGTGAGTGGAACGCAGAGGGTCGACTCACTGTGCCGAGCACGAGGAGGAGCGACACCCCGGCCGCCACGGAGGCTGCGTGGGGCGGCACGACACAGCACGGTGCGCAGCCCAAGCTCCCACGCTGCAGACAGCATGGCCAGCATCAACATCACCATCAACATTGTAATCATCAACATTATCATCATTAATATCACCATCATTATCATTGTATTAATAAACAAGTGCAGTTTACATGTCATGTGAAAATCTGTTTCAGCTCAGAAATCAAAAATTAAAGAATAAGACATCATATTCGCATTTATCGCCCTCAAACCCTCCAGATAAAGACCTTTGTAGGCCTAGGTGAAAAAATTACAACATCGAGATATTTGACTCCCACTTCTTCCAAATGTTTTGGGCCCATATTCAAGGGGTGGCTTTGCAGATGTTTCTAGTTGTGAGCACAATTTTAGACTGGCCAGGTGGCTCAGCAGTGGAGCGGGTGGCTCACAGTCGTTGTGAGCTCGGATCCTGGGTGGGGGTTGACTCATGAGGGACAATAGTTTGACCGCCTCTGTGGGAAAGTCAAGTGGTCGCCCTTTGGATATACTCACCCCTGCCATAGGAATGTTGAATTTCACTGGCTCGGAGCTGTAAACTGGAGATGAGCACCTCCACAATGCTCAACTGAGAAAGCAATCACTTTGACTACTCAATTCGACTCTATAAGTGCCAACGTTCAGCTTTTTAGCCTTGCTGGAACTTCATGAAAATTGACATTCATTCCGTCTCATGACGAGCAAACCAAGAGTAATTGGTCACGGACATTACCAGCTACTTACCATTATAACACTCCACCAAAAATACCTGCATTAAATGTCACATTGGGACTATAGCACCCTTCATAGCCTCCAGATATGATCTAGCATTGGGCTATGTTCAACAAATATTTTTTTTCATTCACCCAATTCTGGGTGGCACAGATTGAATTTTTTTGGTTTTGGAGATTTTTCTCGTGACATTTGTTAACGTGCTGCATTATCTTCAACGGAGCGAAAAGCGTAGGAAATGACATTACTTCTACTGGTATGCTCTAATATCACATACACGATTGCTTTGTATTGAGTTGTGCCCACCTGGGACCCGTAAGGGTAGGCATTCCTTGGTATAGTGACGTATTCTTTTTCACGATGCAGTGTGTTTACCTCTTGGCCTATGGCTCACTCCGACAATAACTTCAGGAATGGCATCACAGCCTCTTGTACGTATCATCATTAGCAACCACGCCTCGGATAGTCACCACGCCACGAAGAAGTATGTGCTGAACTATTCACGTACTGCCGCTTTAATCACTGCTCGGGTGCAGACGAGGACAACGAGCACCTTGCTACCTTCAAACAGAGGCACCAAGTGATCCTCACTCGTGTTGTGTTAAACCTGCCAATGTTTGGCATCGCATATTCACTTGGCTGAACCTTGGTGTTCTTCACGTGGCAGTTTTTCATGCATACTGCACTGCAGTGTTTTCTTCATGTATCGTATTGCCCCGACTCTTTGGAAGTGAAGATCAAATCAGAACAGACGGCCAGGTGGGTGAGAGGTCCGAGAGGCTAAGCCGGCACCGTCGAGGTCTGGGATCGAATCAAGATTTTAGCCGCCCGTGGGTAAAGCCGGGTTCTCAAGTACAGTGAGTTCGTGTTCTCAAGTACAGTGAGTTCGTGTTCTCAAGTACAGTGAGTTCGTGTTCTCAAGTACAGTGAGTTCGTGTTCTCAAGTACAGTGAGTTTGTGTTCTCAAGTACAGTGAGTTCGTGTTCTCAAGTACAGTGAGTTTGTGTTCTCAAGTACAGTGAGTTCGTGTTCTCAAGTACAGTGAGTTTGTGTTCTCAAGTACAGTGAGTTCGTGTTTCCAGCCCAGTCACGAGCGACTGGTCCTGGCACAGGAGGTCCCATGCTAGTTCTGTGATAGCTCCTTCCTTGGGAAATTCACAAACACTGCTCTGAGAGTTTCCAATTGATTCTTCATCTCGTGACACAATGCCGATAGCGTAATTCGCTACAAATACAAAAATAAGCAGGGCCTTTCTCAGCAATGAAACTGACATACGTGACTCGGGTCATACACTCGCTGATATTTTCAAAATGTAACTGAAAAACCTGAAAGGCTGGTTTGGAAGTGAAATAAAAAAAACCACAAATAATGAAACATTTTAAACATTGCAAGTACAGTAATTTAAATATATCTGAATAAACAAAGTTTAAAAGAATTACTGTGCTGTAGGCATATTTAAATGTATCAGGTCAGTAACGCATTCCCTTAACCTCACACTGAACTCACATACACGTCATAGGACCAATGTCTGCTTGTCCTCTGATCCTAATGTATAAAAGTCAGAGCAGCGGTACTTCCACCTGCGTCCACGTGCCAAAGCTCGCAGGCCTCAGTGTGCAGGGCCCCCCAGTCAACCCATCATTTGGCCACGCAGCAACCCCCCCCCCCTGCCCACTGCACTGAGCGTGACCTCCACGGAGACCAGTCAGCTCCTTGGACGCTCGTCCTGGTGGCGAGGGGCGAGGGACGAGCCCTCTCCATCGCTGTGCCACGACCCAGCAAGCTAACGGAGGGATTACGGAATGACCTCGCATTACCGTGCACACTGAGAGCACCTGCTTGGCACGCAATGGGCCCCAGAGTAAGCAGAGCCCACGGTGTAATCAGAGTCCACGGCGAAGCCCTCTCTGGTTCGCAGCGAGTGCCCCGGGCTGACAGTCCGCCTGTTGCTGGGCGGCATTCTTCTGCGATTGCTGTCAGCAGTGGCCGACCTCGGGAGGCGCAGCGGGAAAACCAGTTCCTCGCCCAGTGTCGCAGTCACCCATTTGGCGCGCACGAGACACCCAGCCCTCGTGCCTGCGGCTCATGCGGCGGCTTCGTTGTCACCACGTTGCGGAGAGCTGCAGCTGCTTTGCACCACCGGTTACACGCGCGGCACTCGCCAGCATCTTGCTGGATATGCTCAGAACGGTGACGACGGGGGGAGGGGGGTGTTATTGGCGCGAGTTCTGCCAAGGTGGTGGACCGGAGAAATAGCGAGTAGCGAGTTCCACGGCGCCTGCTCGTGTCACGGGGACCGCTCGTGTCACGGGGACCGCTCGTGTCACGGGGACCGCTCGTGTCACGGGGACCGCGCGTGTCACGGGGACCGCGCGTGTCACGGGGACCGCGCGTGTCACGGGGACCGCTCGTGTCACGGGGACCGCGCGTGTCACGGGGACCGCTCGTGTCACGGGGACCGCGCGTGTCACGGGGACCGCGCGTGTCACGGGGACCGCTCGTGTCACGGGGACTGCGCGTGTCACGGGGACTGCTCGTGTCACGGGGACTGCTCGTGTCACGGGGGCTGCTCGTGTCACGGGGACTGCTCGTGTCACGGGGGCTGCTCGTGTCACGGGGGCTGCTCGTGTCACGGGGACTGCGCGTGTCACGGGGACTGCGCGTGTCACGGGGACTGCTCGTGTCACGGGGACTGCGCGTGTCACGGGGGCTGCTCGTGTCACGGGGACTGCTCGTGTCACGGGGGCTGCTCGTGTCACGGGGGCTGCTCGTGTCACGGGGACTGCTCGTGTCACGGGGACCGCTCGTGTCACGGGGACCGCTCGTGTCACGGGGGCCGCTCGTGTCACGGGGACCGCGCGTGTCACGGGGACCGCGCGTGTCACGGGGACCGCTCGTGTCACGGGGACCGCTCGTGTCACGGGGACCGCTCGTGTCACGGGGGCTGCTCGTGTCACGGGGACCGCTCGTGTCACGGGGGCCGCTCGTGTCACGGGGACCGCTCGTGTCACGGGGACCGCTCGTGTCACGGGGACCGCTCGTGTCACGGGGACCGCTCGTGTCACGGGGACCGCTCGTGTCACGGGGACCGCGCGTGTCACGGGGACCGCTCGTGTCACGGGGACCGCTCGTGTCACGGGGACCGCTCGTGTCACGGGGACCGCTCGTGTCACGGGGACCGCTCGTGTCACGGGGACCGCTCGTGTCACGGGGACCGCTCGTGTCACGGGGACCGCTCGTGTCACGGGGACCGCTCGTGCCACGGGGACCGCTCGTGTCACGGGGACTGCTCGTGTCACGGGGACCGCTCGTGTCACGGGGGCTGCTCGTGTCACGGGGACTGCTCGTGCCACGGGGACTGCTCGTGTCACGGGGACCGCTCGTGTCACGGGGGCTGCTCGTGCCACGGGACCGCTCGTGTCACGGGGACGTGTCGACGAGGCGAGGAGGCCACTCACGGAGCGGGGGGTCCGCGCCTCGCCGCGCCGCTCCATGCCGAGTCGGCGGTGGCAGTCGCCGCGCGGGGCTCACGGCTGAGGGTTCCTGTCTGCACGAAACAAACTCACCAACACATCCAGCACAACACATACAATTTAATACTTAATATTGTTTATTTTGGGTGAGATCGCGTAAGTATAAATGTGTCGTTAAACCCGCCACCACCCGACGCAGCCAACTAGGAAGGTTTGTCACGTCAGCAGAACGTGGCCAATTCGTGGCGGGTTTAACGACACATTTATATATTTACGCGATCTAACCCCAAAAAAACATATTATGGATATTGGTCGCGAAAGCCTCCTTCGTGTTAAATCAAATACAATTTCACATCCAATCAATGTCGTCAGCAGTTGTCCTCACACACAACACAGTCCACTCACTCACAACACTCACAACACTCACTCACAACACAGTCCACTCACAACACTCACACACAACACCCACTCACAACACTCACTCACAACACTCACACACAACACCCACTCACAACACTCACTCACAACACTCACACACAACACCCACTCACAACACTCACTCACAACACTCACACACAACACACAACACAGTCGACTCACAACACTCACACACAACACAGTCCACTCACAACACTCACACACAACACAGTGCACACAGAACCGCACGCACCACGGTCACCACCAACATCCAGCACAACCACGCACTCACCTGGAGTATCCCCTGAATACCTCCACAGGTGTCCACAGGTGTCCCCTGAATACCTCCACAGGTGTCACCACGTGTCACCCTGAATACCTCCACAGGTGTCCACAGGTGTCCCCCTGAATACCTCCACAGGTGTCCACAGGTGTCCCCTGAATACCTCCACAGGTGTCCCCACGTGTCACCTGCTCCCGTCTCGCGCTCTGCGCGGGTCTCTCACCGCGGAGTGCGCGGCCTGCTGAGAGGCCGCGCCCCGTGACTCCTCCCCGTGAACTCTCACCACCCTCACCATGTACCCTCACCACTCTCACCACCCTCACCACCCTTACCACCCTCATCATGTACCCTCACCACACTCACCACCCTCACCACACTCATCATGTACCCTCACCACACTCACCACCCTCACCACACTCACCACCCTCATCATATACCCTCACCACTCTCACCACCCTCACCACTCTCACCATCCTCACCATGTACCCTCACCACTCTCACCACCCTCACCACCCTTACCACCCTCACCATGTACCCTCACCACTCTCCCCGTGTACTCTCACCACCCTCACCACTCTCCCCGTGTACTCTCACCACCCTCACCACCCTCACCACTCTCACCATGTACCCTCACCACTCTCACCACCCTCACCACCCTTACCACCCTCACCATGTACCCTCACCACTCTCCCCGTGTACTCTCACCACCCTCACCACTCTCCCCGTGTACTCTCACCACCCTCACCACCCTCACCACTCTCACCATGTACCCTCACCACTCTCACCACCCTCACCATGTACCCTCACCACCCTCACCACTCTCCCCGTGTACCCTCACCACTCTCACCATGTACCCTCACCACCCTCACCACTCTCCCCGTGTACCCTCACCACCCTCACCACTCTCCCCGTGTACCCTCACCACCCTCACCACTCTCCCCGTGTATCCTCACCACTCTCACCACCCTCACCGTGTACCCTCACCACTCTTCCCGTGTACCCTCACCACCCTCACCACTCTCCCCGTGTACCCTCACCACCCTCACCACTCTCCCCGTGTACCCTCACCACCCTCACCACTCTCCCCATGTACCCTCACCACTCTCACCACCCTCACCGTGTACCCTCACCACTCTCACCACCCTCACCGTGTACCCTCACCACTCTCCCCATGTACCCTCACCACTCTCACCACTCTCACCACTCTTCCCGTGTACCCTCACCACACTCTCACCACCCTCACCACTCTCCCCGTGTACCCTCACCACCCTCACCACTCTCACCACTCTTCCCGTGTACCCTCACCACCCCCACCACCCCCCCCCCCACCACCACCCCCACCCCCCCTCATGGCCTCCTCTTCCTCCTTCTCGCCACGCGGACCGTGGCCAGCTTCGTGACGCGGGGCCGCGCGCACCTCCGAGGGTCCCTCGAACATGTGGCGGTGGCGCCACCTACGGAGCGACACAGACCCGTACCACACCCAGCCCTGCCCCACCCAGCCCTGCACCACCCACAGCCCCGTACCACCCAGCCCTGTATCACACAGCCCTGCACCACACAGCCCTGCATCACACAGCCCTACACCACCCAGCCCTGCACCACACAGCCCTGCACCTCCCAGCCCTGCACCATACCCAGCCCTGCATCACACAGCCCTGCACCACACCCAGCCCTGCACCACCCAGCCCTGCACCTCCCAGCCCTGCACCACACAGCCCTGCATCACACAGCCCTGCATCACACAGCCCTGCACCACACACAGCCCTGCACCACACAGCCCTGCATCACACAGCCCTGCACCACATAGCCCTGCACCACACAGCCCCGTACCACACCCAGCCCTGCACCACCCAGCCCTGCACCACCCAGCCCTGCACCACACAGCCCTGCACCACACAGCCCTGCACCACACACAGCCCTGTATCACACCCAGCCCTGCACCACCCAGCCCTGCACCACCCAGCCCTGCACCACCCAGCCCTGCACCACCCAGCCCTGCACCACCCAGCCTTGCACCACACAGCCCTGCACCACCCAGCCCTGCACCACCCAGCCCTGCACCACCCAGCCCTGCACCACCCAGCCTTGCACCACACAGCCCTGCACCACCCAGCCCTGCACCACACAGCAATATCGTTCAGGAGTTGAACTCTGCGAGCCACGAGAGGGCTTCAGCAGACCACAGTCATGAACGAGATGGTCAACAAATTATTGGTTCTTTCGGTAAAATCAGGTGTGAAAAACACAGCAAGAAAATGTTCTGATGATGATTGTTTGTGTTGCAGTCGAAACGTCGTGAGAATTTTATTGTTTCATATTTGTAGTCTTTTATTGTTTCCCTGCTACGTGACTTTACCGAAAGAACCAAGAAGATTAATCCCTGCAGTCACGAAAGCTTCAAATCTAAATTCATATGGTCAACGTTGTTGGTTGCGTGGCCACGATCTCACTCCTGTACCGTGGCGCGTCTTGAGTTGTCTATTCATGAACGTGAATATGCGCATCGCCTGTTGATGATGTCGTGATGGAGCTGATGGTTCCTCCGGTGTCGTCGAGGAGGAGTTTCTAGTCCAGGAGGTGTGCGATGATGTTTGAGTCTCGAGTGAGGAGAGATGTTTGATTAGTCGGGAGCTGCGCGTTGCTTCACTCGGCTCGCACAGCAACAACAAGAGAAGCAGCCTTCTTGAAGGGACGCGCGGCGGATGAGGAAGCGACATCTCAGCACTCAGCCTGAGACAGCTCAGCACTCAGCCTGAGCCCTGTCGCACACACACACACAGCACTCAGCCTCCACTCTCACACTGGAGAGGAGAGTTTTGATTTTATTTGATTTGTTACGCGGATGATCCCGTTTGGCCAGTTGCCCGCCTATCCGTGGTGCCGTGAGCACAGCAGCAACAGCAACAACACAACTCAGTTACTGTACCTCGGCGTTGCAGAAAAGGGGGACAGCGTCCTGCAGGTTTATTGCACAACGAGCACACGAGGTGCAGCAGCAGGAGGAGGAGACCGTCACCTGCGGGGCGAGAGAGGCGCGAGCGACCAGCAGGTGATTTGGGGGAGAGGGGAGTGCGCGACCAGCAGGTGAGTTGGGGGAGAGTTGGGGGAGTGCGCGACCAGCAGGTGAGTTGGGGGAGTGTTGGGGGAGAGGGGAGTGCGCGACCAGCAGGTGAGTTGGGGGAGTGTTGGGGGAGAGGGGAGTGCGCGACCAGCAGGTGAGTTGGGGGAGAGTTGGGGGAGAGGGGAGTGCGCGACCAGCAGGGGAGGAGGGCAGCTGTGGGGCTCAATGTGATACAGGGCTGTGTGCGTGTGTGACAGGGCTGTGTGTGTGTAGGCTGTGTGTGTGTAGGCTGTGTGTGTGTGTAGGCTGTGTGTGTGTGTGTAGGCTGTGTGTGTGTGTGCGCTGTGTGTGTGTGTAGGCTGTGTGTGTGTGTGCTGTGTGTGCTGTGTGTGTGTAGGCTGTGTGTGTGTAGGCTGTGTGTGTGTGTAGGCTGTGTGTGTGTGTGTAGGCTGTGTGTGTGTGCGCTGTGTGTGTGTGTGTTACAGGGCTGTGTGTGTGTGTGACAGGGCTGTGTGTGTGTGCTGTGTGTGTGTGTGTGTGACAGGGCTGTGTGTGTGTGACAGGGCTGTGGGTGTGTGTGTGACAGGGCTGTGTGTGTGCTGTGTGTGTGTGACAGGGCTGTGTGTGTGTGACAGGGCTGTGTGTGTGTGTGTGTTACAGGGCTGTGTGTGTGACAGGGCTGTGTGTGTGTAGGGCTGTGGGTGTGTAGGCTGTGTGTGTGTGTGCGCTGTGTGTGTGTGTTACAGGGCTGTGTGTGTGTGTGTGACAGGGCTGTGTGTGTGTGCGCGCTGTGTGTGTGTAGGATGTGTGTGTGTGTGCGCTGTGTGTGTGTGTGTTACAGGGCTGTGTGTGTGTGTGACAGGGCTGTGTGTGTGTGTGTGGGCTGTGTGTGTGTGTGACAGGGCTGTGTGTGTGTAGGCTGTGTGTGTGGGCTGTGTCTGTGTGGGCTGTGTGGGCTGTGTGTGTGACAGGGCTGTGTGTGGGCTGTGTGTGTGTGTGACAGGGCTGTGTGTGTGTAGGCTGTGTGTGTGGGCTGTGTCTGTGTGGGCTGTGTGGGCTGTGTGTGTGACAGGGCTGTGTGTGGGCTGTGTGTGTGGGCTGTGTGTGTGTGGCAGGGCCACGCGAGGGGTGGAGCCTTGGTCAAACTCGCCTTCATCCAGTCAGATACTGAAATATAGAAAAAACAAATACATAACAGGTGATATGACATGAATGTGTTTTTACTACATTTTATTGGTCTCACCACATTACAAGTGAACGTTTTGTCTTATTACATCAGTCGGTAACATCTGCAGTCCTGTGAAACGTGGCAGAAATTAATTGCCGGCAATCATGCAGAGGAGATGCTCGCCATGTACGGGCCGCGTGGTGTAGGGTGGAGGTGGCCACGTGGTGATCGAGACGGGCAGAGTGGCCAGCGAAGGCCTCTTCAGTTGCCACGTGCCAGGTCTCCTGCCGCGTCTGTGCTGCCCGTATCGGTCTACTGAGCCACGTGACGGCACACGGATGTCACAGCTCACCTCGGCAAGCAGTGGCAGCCAACAACAAGAGTGGTACCTAGAGGTGGTCAGAAACTCAAGTGACGACCTCACGTGCTGACGGAGATATTGTGATGATGTAAAACATGCGCAGAGCTATCTTGGTCCTGCGAACTGCGTCCAGTGTTTGTATTATTAATTCACAGTTACTCTTCATTGTATATGTCGGCCTTCACGACCAAAATTATTCATAATGAGTTTATTTTGGGAAATATCGGCGTGTCGGAATGTCAATTTGCAACTACCGTTTTATTCTCCACCGACTGACAGAGCCAAGCAAATGAAGTTGTTACTTGATTGGCAAATGTGTTGATTAATTTGATTTATCAACAAAACTGGATTGTTGAAAAAAAAGCAAATGTTTGTAATTTAATACAAAATTTTCCACAATGTTTCTCACATTCCAACATTTGTTTTTGCTGATATAACAAATAGTTTATTATGAATAACAACTAAATTGCCATTTGACCATCATGTGACAACTTCATTTGATTGGATCTGTCGGTTGAAGCTAAACATTGACATTCTACTTCCACAATCAATAACCCCAAATCAGCTAGTTATGAATCGCAGTTGCTAAATTAGATCCTCCAGCCATTGAGCATTCATGCTCTTGCCCATGTGGGCGAAACTTGCTCCTTAGTTGAGGTCTCTGCGTGCTATTACGCGTCGACTCAGCCTCAAACGAGTACCTCGTGCGGCGTGTAAACATCGCCACTGGGGGGGAGACAACAGGCGGCCACCTACTTCCTCGTGTGCCTTCATTGGTGCTCGCTAACAGCACTTGTCCCAGAAGTCTAAGGCTATACGGGGGGTCTTTGTCGTGACACGTAAGCTTGTCTCTTTCAATTCTCCATTATAGACCAAACATTTACACATTCCAGGTCACCTTTTCAGCTGTGCTGCAGGGTACATACCTCTGTACATAGCTGTGTACAGAACATAGACATTTATTTAACAAATATGTACACAGATTCCTGTTGTATCCACAGCGAAACGTCAAACTCGTCTAAAGCAAAGCTTTTGACGCACAGATCCGTGACAGTTAAAATCCTTTGGTGCTTTCTGCATTGTGCTATTGGCGTGCTTGGGTCAACACTCGAGTGTTTGTGACGGATATCTTTACAAATATATATATAAATAATATATTCTATGCCCAGCAGCAAATGTAGAGATTCCAATGTGTGATGTGATTGGAATACATACTTTGCAGTTAAGGTATGTGGTATGTTCTACACTGCCTTCATGCCACTCGGTCTATACTCAGTACAAGCAACAGCTTTTAGCAAGTGACTGAGTGGTACTGGATAGAAACGAATTGCAGTATATATTTGAAATGTATTTACTAGTGAAACAAATTAGCATAATTCTGCAGATACTTGACTGTAAATGATTTCAACAGTTCCACGATACAATTGTGGAGGTAAATGTACATTTTATCCGTGTCTTATATTTTTTCTAAACGACCCAAAAGCCGAGTCAAATAGTGAGACAGACCCCCAACATTTCTGGGGGTCCATCAGTAACTTGCTGACCTGCCCCGACTGGACATCTGTGAAAAAGAGCTTCATAGCTCATCGGATTCTTCCTCCAGTCTGACTAAGGATTCTAATTTTGATCCGTAAAATGCATCAGAACAGAGAAGTTTATCCTTGAGCCGCGCTGTGCACCGTGGGTGGCCCTAGTGGCCCTGTGATCTCCCCCCACCCACCCACCCATCGCTGCCCACTCCACAGTGCTGTGTCTGTGTGCAGGCTGCGCCGATGGACAAAGCGAGGCCCCCAGCCCCGTGGCTTTCCACTGCGTCCCTGAGGCTCTTCACATTGGCCGTGGCTTGCTCTGGTAAACTCCCCCCTCGCCTCCTCTACTGATTTCTTGCTGGAATCCTCTAATTCCACAGCTTGACAGATGACACACCACAGACATGATCGTCTTACAGCTCTGATGTGGAAATCCATCTTCATAGAGTATTTCAATGTCTGTTTGCAAAAACATTCCCCGAGAAGAGTCAGTGTATGTTGTACAGGCGACTTGTGTTTGCAGAGCACATCATGTACAGCTGATCATCAGTCCACTTCTGGATGAGGGCCACCTCACGCCGTCTGGCTCAGGGGGTCGTAGAGGTTTGTAAAGACGAGGAGCCTAGACCTGGGGGCATAGATGCGCAGTACAACAATCCACTTTCTTGCACTGTTTTCTGATACCCACGACAGAGTTCTGCACTGTGACAGTTATTTGGTCACAGTTTGGTTTTCTTCATATTACGTAGTGTTTGCTCAAGTCGGCAATGTTTGTAATGCACTTTCCACCTGCCTATCACGAAAAACGTAACAATCTGAGCAGAGTAATAGGTTGGAACACACGTGACTCGTGTGGTGAGTGGCACCAGTGAGTTCACTGCTGGTCACTGTCTCACCAACATTGGCGCAAAGGCTGCAAGTTATCGAGATCACCAGCTTCTATAAAACAACATTCCCAATTGTCTCACTGACGCATCTTATGAAGAGCGTTTTAGTACAATTCCCATCAATGCTATCAGTAAAACAAATACGTAACGACTAATTCCTATGGAGCAGTCTGCATGAGCATCATATTTTGTTCGTAATATATTCATAATGCCCTTGATCCAGCAAATGTTCACCGAGGACTCATTTCCAGCTGGGTGCCGCTGCACTGAGACGCTGGTTCAGTTCCACAGTTTGGCGGTCAAATCCCACACACAGTGGTCGCGAGAGAGGGGGGGGGTGGTGACAGGAACATGGGCGCTGGTAAGCCCCCTCTATTTAGAAACTCACCCTGTTGTTGTGACCGTGATTCACAGTCGACCATCCCTAACATGCTTTAGCGCTTCGCTCTTTGCGTATTACACAAGGCAGCTTCAATTGTAGCCTGGCACACACACACACGCGCAGCGCTGTCACGGCGACCGTGGCTCAGAACCAGTTTGACCGCAGTTGGCTTCGTGTCCAGATCGCCTGCCTCCAAAGCGACGTGGTCCGTCTCGTCTCCTGGACATTTGGATGTTTGTACAGTGACTAGCAACGGATTGTTGGACGCTGCTCGCCTTTTGGCCAGCCTAGTTACTTGCTACACAGTGTGTACAGCTACATTGACAAGTACACATCTACACACGAATACAGGCATATGACTGGTAACTGCACTTCTGGATTGTATGAGCGCTGCCATTGATATTTGACTAAGTCGCTTCATCCGCTGTTTAAAAATCGTGGCTTGTGGATTGGTAAAATAGAGAGAGAGGTTTCCTGGACAAAGTTGATAATACACATATATGTTATATGTTAAGATAACTCACGCAGGGTTCATTATAACAAATTTACAACCTACTTTAGACAGTTTATATTAATCTATTCTTGCGTATGATGGCAGTATGTTCATGAGCTAAATGTCGAGGTGTGCTCGCCACGAGAGGGGCTTCAGCAGAGAGTTCGTGTCGTTGTGCTCTGCCGCCATAGAAGCACAGGTCACGATGTCGGCCGTCGCTTGGTCTGCATGGCCACAGTCCCACGACTGCGGGTTGACTTTCATGTTCCATTTGTGAAGACGTGCACATCGCTCTGTTGACGTCCCGATGCTGTTGATGGTACAACAGTGTATTCAAGGAATGTTAAGTTCAGAAGATGCGATGTTTGGGTCTCGATTGAGGTGTTTATTGATGTATAACTAACTTTTAGTGGTGGAATGTTTGGGGCTCAAGGAATTAAACTGCAATTGCTATTTTGTACCGAGAGCTCCGTGCTTTGCCTAAGTGCCCGAACAGCCACATGTCTACTTACAAATAGAAACAAATCTTTAACCCCATTGTGCACCATCATCACCACCGTTTATTTAGCTACACCAGATTGGAGAGGTGGCATAGTGGCTCACAGTTTAGCACCGCTGAGATCTTCCATTTGAATGCAGGTGGTTACCGATGATGCAGCCTGTTTCTCCAGCGTAGTGACTCGATGGTCTCTGCCCAGTCAAACAATGATGACACAACACACGCAACAAACAGAAGACATTCGTTGTTGCCCTTAATTTGACTGAATCCCAGCTCTTAAGGGGGGGGGGGGGTGGGACAAAATAATGTACTACTGTTTTCCAAGACTCAAAGTGGTAGTAATGATAATGGTTTCGTTTGTTGTTAATAGTTTTACCCAGCCGTGGGTTTGAAGTGCTCGTGCCAGGAGACGTGTTCGTCACGGCTGGAGCCGTGGCGACCCTGAGCTGCACCTACCGGTGTGAGGCCCAGCAGCAGCAGCAGCTCGTCACGGTGGTGGAGTGGTGGAGAATCGACCGCCCACAGCGTGACAAGGCCAGTACCGTATCCCCAACTCGGCAGTCTGTGCACACAATGAAGCCAGTCGCGCATTCCTGAGGTCAACTGCAGTCATCGTCAGCCAGGATCAAGCCACGACTGCATGATGGCATCCCCAGATGGTCGTATGATAGAATTCTCCATCTGGCTCCAGAAAGTAGCCCATTTCATCTCATCATCTCCTCGTGGATGTCATTTCTGACTTGTTCCCGCCTTTGACCACCACTGTCGTTTGCCTTCATTTCCGCTATTCTATTTTCAGAATGCGCAAAATATCACGATGAATAATTGTGTGAAAACTCACATTGTCTGACTCCCCTCTCAATATGCATTTTGGTACTTTCTTCATGCAATCTCAGTGTGGCTGCTTTTGTAAATGGTTTTCATGATACCCAAATGTGTTTATTTAGGCCTTGGTTTTTAGATTGTGGATGTCTGCGTGTATGTATGTTGCATTTATTTTGCCACCGTATGTAGCCGACAGTGCTAATCGGAGGTGTCTGCATCAATGGTTACTGAGTACAATGCCTTTCTATAGTTTACAAAGGCCTGGCACAACAGTCATGGCAATGCATTGCCCTTTTACAGAATCTGATTATAAGTTTGTAGGTGGCTGCCATTGAGACTTCTCAACTTCCTTGGGTGCGAGTGTTTGAATAAAGCGTCCCTCTGTGTTTACAGATACTGACTATGGACTACTCCATCGTAGCTCACGACCACCGCGCCCACTGGATAGGCAACATCGCGTCCTGCAACGCCTCCATCTCCCTGCGGGACGCGCTGGTGTCCGACACCGGCGCCTATCTCTGTGATGTGCTGCTTCTGCCCATATACTCAGAGGGCCAGGCCACCCTACAGCTCCACGTGTCGCCTTATGATGGTAGATATTGCCTCAGAACACCTTGAACATCCACTGCTTGGAGATGACACATTCACATCTGTGTTGTGAGCTGTGCATCGTGATAATCACGTTGACGATGTTGTTGAGGAAGTACAGAGAGCTATCCAGAATCTGAGACCAGGAAAAGCACTGGGCAGAGATGATCTCCAGCAAACTGCTCAAGGAGGGTTGCATTGTGTGCAGACTGCTCTATATGACATCACAACTGTACTGGACCACAGGATGGGTTCCGCAGCAGTGGAAGGATACCTTGGTGGTCCCCACCTTCAAGAAGGGGGACCGTGCTAATTGTAACAACTACTAGGGCATCTCCCTCCTCAGTATGCCGTGAAAGATCCTAGCATGGATTAGTCAAAATCGCCTTGCCAGGCACGCTGATTAGAGGCTTTCGGAGCCCCAATGTAGTATCAGGCTGGCGTGGTCCTGCGCAGATGCCATATTATTTGTCCATTTACTACAGCTGAGGTGTAGAGAATTTTAACAGGCCCTGCATCTCTGCTTAGAAATTTACCTTGAGGTTACGAGAGGGATGTCCTCTGCTCCCTACACTATTTAACATCATCTTTGACCACGTAGTTTGCGGTGCTTTACATATCTTTACCGGAGGAGTTTCCATTTTCTACAGATAAAGTAATTTGGGAGTTATTTTTCAAATTTCGCCAATTTGGACCATGATACCAGTACACAATAGCCTACATCATCATTTCCCTTTTGTTGAGAATATAGCACGACCATTCGCAGCATGGGGTCATCACAGCTGCATTGACCTTTTGATTTCACATTTACGACCAGCAGGTTGGGAGACGAATCGGTATGCAGATTTAATTGAATTTAGCAAAGCTTCCAGACGAGGTCATACTTGTATCCATAATTGAACACGTGGAAGAGTTTTTAGGTGAGATTGAAAACTAAATCCAATCTTTCTGTGCTATTTCCCTAACGTGTCTGTATTTTTGTTTCTTCATATATTTGCAGTAAAAAACATATCCGATCCAATCCAGCCTCTGCCCAAGCCCCCGACTACGATAATTGTTATCATCGTTGTAATTGTAGTGGTGATCATCATCGTGGTTATTGCAGCTCGCTACTTGTCAAGGTGAGCCAAGCAATGGGGCAGGCATCATGAAGCAGTTCTAAAAAGTCTTCAGAATGCTTCCGTTGTTTGTCTATATGTCTGTCTGTATGTGGATGTGTATGTGGGGTCAAGTGCTGTTAGAGAGCACCTATGAAGGCCAGCACAGCACACTAGGGGGTGGGTAGCCAGCACACGCCCAGTCGCCTCTATCTCCCAAATGGTGATGTTTACACACCGCACCAGGTACTCATTTGAGGCTGAATCAAATAGGGAGTGGTATTATAGCGATTAGTGTGTTGCGCTACGAACCTGGCGACTCGTGTTCGATTCCCGCTCACTGATAACACCAGTGACGATTATCCGAACTGGTTCTGAGCCTCCCCAGGTGAACACAAATGAGTACCTGGTGCAGGATGTAAACTAATCTACCAGTTAAAGCCCACTGAATTATTCAGATGTTTTTCAGAGGTGAACTGGTCACATAGGATAAGTCATTGAAGTGACTAATATCATGTGGAAATTTATAGTAGCAACCAAATAATCGAAATGCATGTTTCTAAATGTGAAGGGCAAAACCGGAGGATCCGGATAAAAATCCACACAACCACCACGAGAAGAGAAAACACCACAGACTCCAAATATACAAGAGGCATTCCTTTGCCTCAAAAACTTCCCTTAAGTAAGCACGCTGGTAGGCACAGAAAGTTATCCGATTGTCATCGTGCCCCTCGTGCCTCCAGCACCGCTCCTCTTTCCGTAGCTGCACGCACATTGTGTGGAGCTTCTTCTGAGTACCGGGGCAGCGTTTGGTGTCATTGGCGCTGGGTTCTAGTGGGCGACCCGCTCATCGGCGGTGTCGCGGCGAGGTGTCACGAGTAGCTGGCCTCCAAGGCCTGCTGGTATTTAGCGACTGAGCTGATGGGAAATCTCACATAACCCAGTCTGTAGGATGGGCTTCCCTCTCGTCCAGTGTAATCCCTCTTCTGATTGCCTGAATGTTGTAAATTGCATGCAGTGCAATGTTTTGCATCTGTACCATGTCACCCATTTGCCCCAAATATTTGCTTCCTTTTAAAATTAGCCGAAAACTGTTTATTTAATTTAAATTCGGGCGAAATGAATTGTTAAAAAAAAATTAGCACAGCCAAATACATCGTTTTATGTTGTGGCCCAGATGAATTGGCATACGGCATCATTGCAGTACAACCACGCAATACAGAACACACAAACAGCTTAAACATTAATCGAGACATGGGCAGTGTGATGGTTGCTGACATGCACATTGACCCTGCTCACAGTGATACTGATGTGACTGTTATTCAAACCTCAAAACAGACACTTACAACTTTAACAGATCGTCCGTGCTCTTTCTAACCAGGTCGCCACAGTCAACGGATGCCACTGACAGCAGAAACACGTAAGTCTGATTCACGGAGTCTTCAGACGTGTGGTTATTGGTGGCTTCCTTGTGCACGTGTGCGAGCTAACGCACAAAGCCTCGGCACCCAAGAGAAGAGTTATTTTGAGGAAGCCACTTTCATTGTAGAAGAGTGAAGGCTTGCAGACATTCCGTGTTCACCTCGGAGCTCAACACACATTGTGTTGCCGTCATGTTCACCTAATTTAATACCAATTGTCCTCTTGGCATCACGTCATGAAGCAAAGTATAATTTCGGATCTCTTGAACAGCAGTGCGACCCTTCGTGCTGGGCAATGGCACAGACGAAGTGGATATCAGAGAGCTACCTCTGAGCACGCTCTTGTCCACACTGTCGAAGGCAGCACGTCCCACTTGCACCGTGTGTACGTGAGGTTTGTCGCAGGACATTAAAACGATTTATTTTCTCAGAGCTGTAATTTAGCCAAATTAAGTGCTGAATTAAATTTCAAGTGACTTTTCTTTACTCTTTGTTTATTTCGGTAAAGTCACGTATAAAGAGAAAATAATAAATTAAATACTAGCATACGACGTTTCGATTGAAACACAAGCAATCATCATCAGGTATAAATGAAATAGAAACACAAATCTAGTATACTTAGAAATGTAATGTAATGCAACAGAGAGTCGGTGTTGACTGTTATGTTATCCGACTCTCTGTTGTATTACTGTTGTATTACATTACATTTCTAAGTATACTAGATTTGTGTTTCTATTTCACTTATACCTGATGATTGTTTGTGTTGCAATCGAAACGTCGTATGCTAGTATTTAATTTATTATTTTCTCTTTATACGTGACTTTACCGAAAGAACCAAAGAATAATTCCTACAGTCACGAAAGCTCCAAATTAAGTTTGACTTTTCTTTGTTTAGTCATTATTGACCAGGCTGAGTCCATCAACTCACGACAATCGGGAACCTGCTTCAATCATCGGGAGCTGCTTGGATTCCAACCCAACGCAGCCTCCTGCCCTCTGGGCCACGTGCCCCGTTCACTGAGTTCAACAATCCTCTTATCAGTGAAACACAGTCACAGTGTGTCGGTGTGGTTACCTTGCACACTTAATAAATTGTGAAACTTTTTGTTATCATGCTTTCGCCATGTTTTGTGTGTTTGTTCAGAGGAAACACGATGCCCTCATTTGATCGGATTGCTGGTCCGTTCGGTGAGTGCCACTTCTACGTTACCAGAAGTTATCATTGCCAGGACCGCCCACGTGCCATCTGGCACAAATATATTGCTGCTGCGTTATGATACACATTCTTTATTGCTCGTGGTGGTTTTTTAATTATTAACATGTGTTTTTTAATTAGTACCATGTGTTTTTTTCTGTTCCTACATCGTCAGGTGAGAACGAGCTGCTGATTGAACACAGGTACCCAAGATGAGCCGTGTTTTTGGGGGTGTTAGAGGTCTGTGTGAGCAGGATGTCCAAGCCTGGCAGCGAGATGTAACTTGTTGGAACACTATCAACTGTATCTGCACTGTCGAGTGTAGGTCGTACAGAACATCTCCCAGTGTATTACTCAGTGGTGTGTGCCGTCTATAGCCATGGCATTGCCAAGGTCTGTAAGCCACTTTATCTGGACTGAAGGACTATGACCTTTACTCTCTTTATAGGTGTGGAGGTGCGAGCCGTGTTAGATGCGAGACTTGACCCCGAACTTGGGTTTGTCAATAACACTCCCCTAACAGGAACAAATATATAAGAGGTGATGTTGCAGGTATAATGGTCCTTCTGGCATAACACAGCTATCAGCAATTAACGAGTTTACTTCTAAACAAACGACCCTGTAGAGTTGGGGTGAAGACACGAAGACAAACGCTAAACCGAACAACGCATCCACACTCTTGACACATTTGGCCATTGGCCGAAGTGAGCAGGGTATGTCGATTTTATTCTCAATCGCTTATTTTAAACACTGAAATAATTGCTAAAAATGATGGTTGTAGGAGTAATGAAGTCATAGGTATCATTATTTAAAAAAAGGTTTACCATGATAACAAAATCTGTGGTTTGTCGAGTAGCCCTGACCTCCCACTTGCTCCTGTGTGTTTCTCTCTCTCTAAAGTAGGGGAAGGAGAGTCAACCGTGCGCCTTGCGTGAATTCCAGCGGCGGATTCACGGTGCACGCCACCTCGCTTCGTACATGTGGATGCAAGGAGTGCAAGAGTCTTCTCAAATACACACGCAAGTAAGCTGTCTGCCTTCCGCACAGTCTGCTGTTAATACATCTTACACGTGAGAAAGACAACTTAGTGAATGCATTTCCTTATTTGTCAGAAGCAAGAATTAAATATTACCCACCAATAATGATTCATTTATTTAGAGAGATGAAATAGGATTGATGGTTTCACGCTTGTGGTTGTGTAAAAACCAGACGCAGTACTGCCGCTCTTGCTAGAAATACATCCAGGTTCATGAGTTGTGCTCGAGATGCACATTGTCAGGATAATAATAGTCAACGGTGGACACATGCACACGTGACGCAGCTCTCAAACAGGACGTGTATGTATGCTTACGGTGGGTCGGTGGGAAAGCGAGGGGCTCGCAATCAGAAGGTTGCAAGTTGGAATCCAAGTTTGGGGTTGACTCAGCCCATCGTATCTCCAGGTGTTATAAAATAGGAACTACTTTAAATTGCGATTTAAAGCTTTCGTGACTGCAGGGATTCATCTTCTTGGTTCTTTCGGTAAAGTCACGTAGAAGGGAAGTAATAAAATAATTAAAATAAAACATAATAAAATACAATTCTCACGACGTTTCGGCCACAACGCAAGCAGCCGTCCTCAGGTGAAGAACAGGTCTGTCAGAAAGACAGACACTGTCTTTTCGACAGACCTGTTCTTCACCTGAGGACGCTGTCTTTCCGACAGACCTGTTCTTCACCTGAGGACGGCTGCTTGCGTTGTGGCCAAAACGTCGTGAAAATTGTATTTTATTATGTTTTATATTTATTATTTTATTATTTCCCTTCTACGTGACTTTACCGAAAGAACCAAGAATAGGAACTACTTTGTACAACTTTGTGGGCAAGTCAGGAGTGCTTGGCCTGGTGAGGGACTCAGTCCTGCAGTAGTAATGCAGAACTTCCACTACTGGCTCAAGACTCTAAACAGAATGAGCACTGCTTGAATGCTCATTTGAACAATAAGTCACACATGTGATTTGTTACTTTGATCCTTGCCCATGTATCGATGGTTCAATTTGAATGTGCAATTGTATTGAGGGACTGTTCTTGTCGTGGTGTTTGCTACCTGCCCAAGCTGCATTTAGTGTTGAGACATCGGCAAGAATGGATGAATATTCTTGGGTCTTTCGGTAAAGTCACGTAGATAGGTTCAAAGAAAATCACCGCAGCTTTCCCGCTCTTTTTTCTCCTGATGACGACCGCTTGTGTTGCGATTGAAACGTCGTCGTTTTTTGTTATTTTATTTTAACCTATCTAAGTGACTTTACCGAAAGACCCAATAATATGAATTCCTGCAGTCACGAAAGCTTTAAGTCAACATTTAAGAATGTATGTACTTATGCAATGTGTAGTTATATACTTTATTAATTTTTATTTACTTACTTTTAGTGACTTTCTTACCCTTTCTATACTTTTTGTATTGCTTGTTTTAATTTGGTGACCTGCCCCTCGAGACATCCTTTAACAAAAGCTTCACAGCTCCTCCAGTCTCAATAAAGTTTCTGATTTTGAATTGGACTTGTTGAGTGTATTAACTGTGACTTACACAATAGGCATTTGTTTACCGTTATCTTTTGCAGTCGCCAGCAAGAGGACATGACTTCAGCCGTGCAGGTAACCCAACCTGAGGTCTCGGAGCTTGTTTAATGTGCTGAGTGAAAGTTGTTGATACGGAAACGACCATCCAGTTCTTACACAGCGCAGAACATTTTCAAAACAAAAATCATCACCACATTCGCCGCTGTTACTGACTCACAGCAGACAAATGCACGAGAAGGCTGTAGCAGGCGATTCCACTTCTGCAGAGCTCAGAGAGAGAGTAGCTATTTTTAGTTAATTAAAGCTGCAATCTGTAATTTTAATCACAATGCCAACGATTTACCGAGGAAAGCCTCAAAGTTGTAGAAGTAACCTGAGTGTGAGTAGACACCCTACGCTCAAGAGGGGAAATGCTCACAGCTCCACACAGATGGATTCCATCCACAAGCGCAACCCTGTTAGTGAACCAAGTCGACCCGTGGACTGTGCACAGCGCTGTGCCGCCACTCCGGGGGCCTGGTGGCCCTTGGGGATGGTTCTTCGGGATCACTGTGGAATTGGTCGACAGTTGATATGTCAACAGTCTCCTGTACAATATTGGGCAGCAAACACACATCATTGGCATTGGAGTGAAAGTGGGGGGGGGGGGGGGGGGGGGGTAGAGAGAAATAAACAGACGGCAAGGGATCTGAAACCACGAAAAGTGTGTTGGTAAAGGCGAGGTGTGAAAGGATAGGAAAATAGCAAACAAAATATAGAATGCACAGAACCCTGTAAAACCATTAGCAAACAAAATAGAGAACTTGTCACAAACATGATTCAAGGTGTCACAAATGCAATGGAAGCATGAATTCAGTTAACAGGACGTTTATGATTTGTACATCAAAAACAGACAATGAGAGATGACAGAGAGAGTTGGGAAAGTAGTGGAGGGATTGTTTGTGCTGAAGAATCAGCATCAGGATCTTTATTTAGACTGCAGGAGAAATCCGATGAGCCATGAAGCTCTTTTTCACAGATGTCCAGTTGGAACTGGTCAGAAAGTTATAACAACAATTAAAAAACAAATAAACGCTTTATTAAGTGGTTATTGTTAACGTTGTAGTTATTTCATAATCTTTCTCCTCAAATAACATACACGCGAGTTAAATATCTGCAGTCGGACGTGTAAATAGTTGGTGTGTGAACAGCTGACGTTGCGCTGTTTGTTAGAGACACGATCCCAAAGTAGTTGCATACGGCCTGTGGACTTGTTGTGATTACTTTTCTTTAAAATTAAATATTATTATGTTGCAGGTTGGGGATGAACACAATGGTAAGTTGAACACTACTATTTAAAATTTGCAGCAATTTTTCAGAACAGGTTAATTGGAAGCAAGTATTCCTTGCCAAGATTTCTTGAACTCCTTCGAACCCCTCCTCCATCCCCTCATCTTGCTTCCTTCACTTGAATGTCGAGTCGTGAAGAGACCCGTAATGTGAAGGGTGACCTTATTGTAGCAGTGGGCATCCCATTCCAATTAACGCTAAAAATCCTTTACGTCACCTGCTGCTCCACGTGAGGTATAATTCCTTCCCAGTGAGTTGTGAACTATTCTCAGGATTATTGAACCATCTCAGATGTAAGATGCACCGCAAACTTGTGCCCATTCTCAATCAATGCATCCTCATCTAGTCGCAACTTTTGTTTTAAAAACATGGGAAAAGAGTGAAGCCTGCGTCTTGCTACAATGATGCTGCCGACAACCGAATGTGGCACTCAATCTCTCACAACCGCTCCCACTGGCCTGCAGAAGCTGCTGATGGAGCGTCTGTTGCTGTGCACATCCCCCGCGCTAAATGGACTACGAGGGGGCGCTTTCGGTCCAAACTGCATTAACCCAGGTGACGCATAAATGGTTCTAAGACCTCACAAACATTCACAGACAATTTTATAAGGCAAATGATCTGATATTGAAAATAATAATGAGCATTCATCATCATTTCTTTATATTTAAACGGGACCTCCCATGCAGTTCGCCACAACGCGCCCTGTGGCAGCAGAGCCCGGGTAGAAGCTGTCTCAGTGAGGCAAAGGTGGACCCAGCTCGGCCTACAAATCAGCCTGCCAGTTTAATCACAGGCAGCTGCCTGGATTCAAACCCAGGCAACAGCAATGTTGGCTCAGCACTCTGACCTCGGAGCCACCAGGTCATCTCGACCACTCTCCGTGCCTGGCCACTGGCTCTATCCGACCAACACTCGGCGGTTGGTAAACGCCTCTCGTTGCTGTGTGTGTACACGTCGATGCGTGGACACTCACATTTGCTTTCGTGCATTGTTTTTGTAGCCCTCAAGTTCCTGCTCTTCAGGCTGAAGAAGCAACGAGGAGGAGGAGGAGGTCTCCCCCGACAGTAGCTGGACCTGCGCCGTGCGAGGGGAGGGCGCGACCTTCACGGGCTTCTCGCTGTTCCCCGCCTGTGCTGGGGCTGATCTCACCACAGACAAAGATCCTCCATATAACCTCAATAGACTGTTGGGGCAAGTGCTGTTAGCGAGCAGCTATAAAGGTCGGCACGGCACACGAGGGGCTGGGCGGCCAGTGTCGCGACCGACCACCTTTGTCTTCCTAGTGGCGATGTTGATGCACTGGACCAGGTGCTCATTTGAGGCCGAATCCACTTAGGGGTTCAGAGCATCATCACATTGGGTTTGGTGGCCGTGAGTTGGAATCGAACTCTGGTTGCCGGGTTCCTAGCGTCGCGTACTAACCACGACACCACCACACGCACACACGTACGCGTGGCAGATGACCGCCGCCTTTGTAAGATGACAGCTGATAAGCACCCCATTTTGTTTACAAGTTAGTGAGTTTCTGGCCAAATGAACATCTCCACTTTCAAGTCCTGAAAACACTGCTCGAAATTCCACATTCCTATGACAGGGACGAGTGTCTCTTCACACTCCGCACCTGCGAGTGCCCGCACCTCCACCTAGCACGGTTGGCTACGTACGGTGCAAAAGAAGTTCAACATACATACTCACATGTTCTTTAATCTACGTGTTAAGATTCTAGCAGGTCATTCAATTCATCCTTTACAAATCGGACTGTAAATAAAACTACACAATGCTCTAATATCTGTAAAACATTTGTACCAAATGTGACATTTCTCTTAAACGAACACCATTCAAATCGGCCTTTTTAAAATCTTAATTTCATTTTATACAGCGGAGTCATTGATGCTAATTGCATTTCACAACACCGTACAATAATTTTATACATAATCACATTAAGGACTAAATCCTATTTGTAACAATTAAGTAACTGAAAACCCTCAGAAAATATGAATAATTACTGTTCTCTTTGATAGTTTGGATATTCTAAACCATTTCCTAATTTATTCACACGTTGCCATACACCCAAAATTACATCGAAACCAATCTGGGTTCCGAAAAAAATACAGCACCACATCTGCTGCATTAGACTCTCTGAATCACATTTACAGTAGCCTTGATAATAAGCAGTACTGCGCCTGTCTTTGTCTTGACTTGTCCAAAGCCTTTGATACAGTCGACCACAACACCCTGCTTAGTAAACTAAGTTGCCTCGGTTTCTCCAAACGCAGTGGAATGGTTAAAAAATTACCTCTCTTTTTGCACCCAAACTGTATTCATAGATAGTTGGAGGTCAAACAGTATTAATATAACAAAAAGGGTTCCATCCTCGGCCCCCTCTTGTTCTCTCTTTATGTCAATGACTTGGGCACTGACCTGGATCATTCCAGGGTAAATCTGTTTGCAGATGACACAATACTGATTACTGCTGGCCGCTCTCCGGATGACGTGATTGCTAGGCTCCAGGGTGATTTCAACAAACTACAACATCAGCTAGTTGCTCTTAAACTAGTCCTGAATACCTCCAAAACCAAGGTGCTATGCTTCTCACCAGGACTAAAGCAGGAAGTTATTTCCCCCCAATTATATTCCTTAAATAATTATCAAATAGAGAAAGTCAAGATCTAGAAGTAGCTTGCGGTCATCTTTGATTCAAAACTGAATTTTCAAGATTACATTGATTATATTGGTAAAAAGACAAAAATAAAAATTGTTTTTTTGTATCGACACTAGCACTGCTTCCCCCCTATGTTCCGCTTGGAATTGATAAAAGCTACCATACCTCCTCTACTTGATTACTGTGACATCGTGTATAAATCAGCCCCCAGTACTGTACTGAAGAAGCTTGACTCATTTATCACTCAGACTTAAGATTTGCATCGAACTGCCCATATAGGACCCACCACTGCGATCTCTACATTGGGTCAAACTTAACTTCTCTTAATGATCGACGGCTTGTGCATCAGATCGTATTTATTCACGATGTACTTGCAAACAAAATCAGCAGACTACCTGCTGGATCTCCTCGCTGTTTCAAAGAACAAATGTGACCTAAGGTCCTCGCTCATTTACCAGCTTCACATTCCTTATTGCCGTACAAACACTGTAGGAAGGGCCTTTTCTATTGATGCCCCCAGGGTCTGGAATGCTATCGCAATAAACTGCAACTTGGATCACTACCTGTGAGATCTTCACTCAAAACTGCTCTAGAGGAGTTGTACACCCCTAGCTGATATGCAGAGTGGCCTGAAATCAAATGCATCGCTCCGGATGTCCGCTGCAAAGTATGATCTTTAGTTTTGATTATAGTGTGCTGATGTTTAAAGGTGCATTGAAAAGTTTTGATACTGCTCCTGATACTCCTGCTGTTATGGAGTGACTTATGCAGCCAGCTATGGCTGCAAAGTTTGGTCGTACCTGTTACGCATATCGTTTATTGTTAAATTTGAATCACAGTTCCTATGATCACTGTTACATTGTTTTTATAGCTTTATTTTGGTGATTTCGAAAACATTTTGGTTTATCCATGTTTGTTTGTTTGTTGTAGTACAGAGTTAGCCTGATAACTTTATAATCTAAATTGTCTTATGGTTGTTATTGTTTGACTTGCATCCCACTGGATTTTTGCACACAGCGTTGAAATACGGTGTTTTTTCTGGAAGACTTTGCAGTTTTTTCCTGGATTTTTCTGTTGCGTGTAGTTACTTGAAGATGTTTCTTGTTAATATTTTTGTTTGTTGCGGTTGCATCCGAGTCAAGAGCCGCATGGCTCTCAGGGTTAGACCTAATACATGAAACTGAAATGAAACTGAAAATCCTCACTTCCTATATATATGCTACTGACGCTTTATTTCCAATATTTCTTGCACCTAACTATTTCAACAATTCTGGTGCTTGCTTGTTATGGATGTCTACGTTATTGCATTAAGGTTTGTGTTTCCACGTTTACTATGAATGATAGGTCTACTTTTTACATCTCCTGCAAGTGTAATGATGTTTATAATAAATTAATAATTTGTGGGTCTATTTGTCAATCCACTCTTCACACACCACCTCTTGCAATACGGGGTCTATGCAACACCAAATAACCCGCAGCGCTGTACATCACTGGTTAATGCGCCTATTGCAGTAAAGAGTTCAAGCTTAAAGAGGAGACACTTCAAGACAGGGGTGGAGAACGTTTATTTTTTAGCGTGGGCCGATGAGGACATTCAAATAAATACCTGTTGGGCAACCACACGCACGCACCTCTGAGTTCTGCACCAGCGAGAGATCCTTGCGGTGACAGGAGTCACGACATTAAATAATAAAATGTATTGTCTCCTCTAAATGAGTTCGCTTGTAAGGTTGAGTTATTGAGAACATGTATTGATATCCTGAATTACCAAATTCAAATAACGAGTGAGACCCCTGTTCAGTGCGATGAAGAAGGGTCATTACCCAAATTGTCACATAAATTGTTCCTTTAAAGGCCACAGGGTCACTTAAATTTTTTTTAAATGTGTGCTCTTTATATTTGTGCGCAACTGATTTGTTGGTAAATTATATATAAACTGCTTGCGCATACTCGGTGGGCAAAAGATGGCGTAGACTGCGGTGTAATTTGAGTTAAAATCTTCTTGGTCTGCAGCCACAGAGAGCCATCTTGACACGGCGACTCAGGGCGCCGCATCTCGCCGTGAGTGTGCGGGTCGAGGGGAGCGGCGGTGCAGCGGTCAGCGCGCTGCGCTACGAACCCGGCTGCTCGAGTTCGCTTTCCGCTCAGTCGACACCAGTGACGATTATCTGAATCGGTCCTGGGTCTCCACTAGGTCGACTCGGCCTCAAATGAGTACCTGGTGCGATGCGTAAATATCGCCACTAGGGAGACAAAGGCGGCCGGGCGTGTGTTGGAGTCTACTTAGGACCAGCGGCGAAGATTCTTCTCTGTCACCGATAAATCACAAATCGTGGCTACCACCTACTCCATTGAGGCGTCGAAGCCCAGCGATTTACCCCCTGGGATCCCGCTGTTGTAGCTGGAGTCCAACGGGGTGAATCAATGTCTGTCCCTTCGATCAGATGCTCCGTAACCTGGGCCACAACTTGATTCAAAGCCCCTCACGAACTCACACTCGAGTGTACTTGGCGACCCACACTGACGCGTATCGTCCTCCAGTCGACGGTAAGATGTTGGTATTTATTATCCATGATGGATTTCAAGCACACCTGTCTCAACGATCACTTCCTGGAGGTCTGGGGAGAACAGCATCCATGCTTCCTGCTTGCACACCTTCGAAAAAACTCAGCGAATGCTCTATGTGGGTGCATACAAGTACAGTCAATGGCGTGTGTACAAGCGTTTTGCACGACTGCTAAAACCAAATCACCCTTGTCTTCAGATAGATTCGTTTTGAGAACCGAATGCATGACATGTTTTCACTTGTTTTGAATGCAGGTGGAGATTGTTTATGATTTAATTTCCACAGGAAGCTTTGCTGCTCTCATGTTGCCAGCGAAGGCTGATGATGCAGTCGCTTCGTAGCTGCACATGAAATACAACGACCAAAATGAGTCTTCACCGGTGTCTGGAATCACTTGCGCCCATTTGAAAACCTCCCTGTGAGTACGAGAGATACCATCACCACAGGCGGATCATATCAGACGTTCTTTATTTACAGGTTGTGACCGCACTGCGCACCATCCTCACGCTGGCCATGGAGGCAGAACGCCGATTTGCAGCTCTACAAACGAGTATTGAACAGCAGCTTGAAGTTTGAAGGCTTTCAACAGTTATGAAATAAAAGTCATGAAACGGGACCTCAAAATCGGTGTCATTTACACCCCAATCGACTGTAGGGCTGCCATGTGAACACTCGTGTGATGGCAGCCGTGTGACTAGTGACTTGTGCTCATGGAGACCATGTGACTAGCGACTCACGAAGTAGACCATGTAACGAGTGACTTGTGTGAAGGGGACCACGTGACTTGTGTGAAAGGGACACTAGTGACGAGTACTAATGGAGATCATGTGACTCGTGTGACGATTCTGAAGGAAACCATGTGACCAGAGAACTCGTTGGGGAGACCGGCACAAGGGCAGCACGGGAAGGAGGAGGGTGAAAGTGGGGATGAGCGAGTGGTGTGTCCGTGCGAGATACGAGCAGCGCGAGCAGCACGAGCGAGTGACCTGCAGCTGCCCGCATCACAAGTGGGGAGGATGAAATTAAACAGTGCAACTTTCCAACAGTTACTTTGAACGTAGATTAATGTTGCTCCGATTATAGCGTGGTCTGCAACGCTGAAGAAATCCAAGTTGTTTTCGCACTTGCAATGATGTTATAAACCCAGTCCACCAGGATTGTCATATAAAGAGTTATGAATGGTTTGAATGTGGTCAGCATTGGTTTGCCAAGCGTAAACTTTGAACTTTAAAATGTCCAATTCTCAAGGACAGGTTTCCGGGATTTAATAATTTACATGACTGTGTTTCGATTAATTTATTTGTTTGCTCTCATCGGATGGGCAGGTAGCATCTCCTCACCTTCATCCCATCTGTAAAGTCTAAATTACTTCTCTGGGCTGCGGTATCAAGGCGATAAATGCAGAGGGTGTTGTACAGTGTTATGCCTATCCTAATACGTACATATGAATGGTTTACAAGATGCACGTTGATAGTAAAGCTGAACAACGTAATTTATTACACAAAAAAAAATAAAGCGTAAGCAGCCTTGCTTAACACCAAATTCGTGCGACGTCTGCACTCAACAAAAATGCGGAGATGCTCAGTAAACGTAATCTTCGCTTGCCGGGCGCAGACACTTCACACTGTTTTAAAAACATCCCTCCCTCCCTCCCACTGCAACCGCTGACAGCTCCTGCAGCGTGGGAGTCGAGGGCTGCAGGAGCCGAGCGTGGCGGCTCACGGCAGGGCGTGAGAGCAGGGCCTGACCGCAGGGCCTAACTGCAGGGTGCGCGGCCGCACGCGGATCAGCAGCGCCACAAAAGGCACTTGCTGACGGGGTAAGAGGGCGAGTGTACTATGGGTGTAAGACCAGAGTGGTTGTGTGCGTGTAAATAGGGGGCGGGGGTGCGTAGAGCCGCCCCACGTCGGGGCGTCCCTGGTTGTGCGTTCCGCGGCTGCGGTGCGGGGCGTGGCGTGGGGCGTCCTCGGGCCTCTCGCTACTTGCGAGTGCGGTTGGGGCGAGAGCGGCGCCGGCGGTCGGGCTTCCTCTGCTTGTGGAGCCGCCCGATGCTCACGCCCTGACGGCGCCGCACCGAGATGTTCTGCTCAACCAGGCTGGACAGCTTGCCTGAGTGTGCGTGAGTGTGCGTGAGTGTGCGTGAGTGTGCGTGTGTGTGCGTGTGTGTGCGTGTGTGTGCGTGTGTGTGCGTGTGTGTGCGTGTGTGTGCACAAAGACAAAGACCCCCCCCCCGTAAAGCCTGTAACAGTCTGTTAGGGGCACGTGCTGTTAGCGAGCACCTATGAAGGCCGGCACGGCGCACGACGGAATGGGCGGCCAGCACCACGCCCAATCGTCTTTATCTCCCCTGTGGCGATGTTTAGACACTGCACCAGATACTTATTTGAGGCCGAGTCGACCTAGGGGAGGTCTGAGACCGATTCAGATAATCCTCACTGGTGTTGAGTGAGTGGGAATTGAACTCGGGTCGCTGGTTTTGTAGCGCAGCGCGCTAACCGCTACACCACCGCTCCCCCCCAACACGAGCGCACACAGGCACACGCACGCCAAACAACCCCGTCAAACCCTGTCAAACCCTGTAGCCTGGTGTGCAATTACTCCGTAAAGCATGTGTGCATTCGTGATGAAAGGAAGCAAGTGCCTGAAAATTCTAATTAGAAAATCCTGTAAAACAAATCTCTTTACACACGAGACAAAAAATCCATTTCTATTCCTCACCCTAATTCACACGACGTGACATTCGTCATGCACGCGAGAGAAGCGCGTACGGACGGCAGCGTTGCTCTCATCAGCGAGCACTTCAACTGGAGAGGAAATGGCGCTCACCTTGCTGGGCGAGCATGGAGATGAAGGTGCAGATGAATTCGTCGTAATTGTGCGTCCTCCGCTGGTCGTCAATCTGCCGAACACGACACCGCGCGAGGAACTCAACATGACCGGCGCCGTGGGGGACGGGGTGTGGGTGCCACCATCCGCTCGGCACGAGTAGATTGCAGGTTAAAGGAAATAAAACTGCAGAGATGGAGCAATGACATCAGCTCTTGTGCAGCAGCAGTTGCGTTGTGAGGCCAGTGAGGGATGCAGGCTGGTGGTGGTGATGAGGGCTATGCTGCACATTAAGGGGTGTCTGACAGCAGCTTCAGGAATGAAAAGATACATTTCTATCATCGACGATTCCTGCTTTCGCGAGCACTGCTATAGCGCCCTCTAGCGACGGCGGTGAGATACGTCTGTAAAGGGCGGACGTGACGTCACACGAGTGTGACAGCTCGGGCGGGGGAGCGTCGGAGAGGATGTTGTGGAGAGCACTGCCACACGCGTTGTCACCGAGCTGCACAGCGAGGCATGGGCCTCAGCAATGAGCCACAGTCCCACTGGTGTGGTTCTCCCCTCCGCTCACACGGTGAGAATCCTCTCAGGTAGTGACGCGGCCCAGCGGTAGCGCGCTCGCCACTTGGTGCAAAAGTCACGAATCCAACGGCTGCCCCGATAATCATTGCGTCATAACCATGGCAAAACAAGCCGTCTGCTTCACAGTGGACGTTAAAAATCCCCTGATGTCATTCTCAAGAGTAATCCATTATTGTGTGCCAGGGCGTCAGGGTCCTAATTTTGCCAAATATCACTATTCCTTTTATTTTCTACCTACGTGACTTTACCGAAAGAACCAAAGAGTATGGAATCCTGCAGTCAGCTTCAAATCAAGATATCACAATTTACTCAATGAGAATATAAATAGCGATCATCGCCCCCTACTGGCAGACTAATGCCCCAGGTCACTCTATCCTGGTCTCTGGAGGTCTCACCTGGTTACACAAAATGAACTTGAACCTCGGAGCGTATTACCGCGTCTACATCAACACATTCTACGTAGCTCGGAGCAGCCCAGCCCGTGGGAAAGGACACTTTGTCACCGGGAGTTGGGCTTTGAGAGGGACAATGAGAGTTTTAGAAGAAAATACATTTCAAATGCTGCTGGACTGCCTGTGATTGGTGCGCGAGCGAGTCAGACACTGGGGTGCCGAGCGTGGCAGTGAGGCTGGGCACAGCGAAGGCCCCTGGGAAGGAGCCGTCGAGGCTGCTATCCGCGCGGCTCAGCGAGCGGCAGCACCCAGCCTCACCTTGTACTTCTTCCTCTTCTCCACCTCCTCCTTCAGACAGACCTCGTAGTTGGAAATGTCAGCCTCCACACCCTTGAGTAGCGTGAGGAGCTCCTGTGGGGCCACGGGACAAGAGGAATGAAGCCCACGCTCACGTGCGCAAGCGTCGTGAGCAAGCGTGAGCGCGTGTGGGAATGCACGCGCTCCGTTCGTAAGTGCGTGCCTGTGGGCATCCGCGCGTGTGAATGCGTGCACAAGTCCACGCGTGGGCGAGCGCGATGCGACCGAGTACGAGCACGTGCGCGAGTACCGTGCGAGTTCGCGCGTGAGTTAGTGTGCGAGTCCACGTGTCGACTAGTCCGTGCGTGTGCGAGTCCGAGTGTGACGACCACAGCGCGGCATTGGAGCCGGAGCCGTGCTCACCTGTGGCGAGTATTTCCCGGGCTGGACCGGGCGCCGTGCGGGGAGGCCGGGGCCCCTATCCTGCCCCGGGGAGCGCGCGGCCGCTCGGCCGCCCGACGGTGCCGCCGCCGCTTCCGGGGGCTCCGTCCGGTCGAGCGCCGGCGCGGCAGGGGGAGCGCCGGGCCCGTCGGTGGGCGACGGGAGCCGGCGGGTGGACGTGACGCGCAGCCGCCCGTCGGGCTCGAGTGCCAGCAGCTCGTGACCGACGCGGTGTCCCATGTCGTGCAGGGCGCGGTCGTGCTTGGCCGCGTCGAGGCGTGCGAACACCTCCTCGCTGAGCAGCGCGCGCGGCAACGCGGGCGCCAGCGACACGGGGCTGCCGGGTCGCGTGGCGCTGCGGGAGCGCACGGGCGAGCGCAGCGGCGAGTTGAAGGCGCTGCCGATCTCCGACGCCGTGTCCGTGCTCTCGTCGCTGGGCGCCGGGGAGCCGGGAGCCTCCGCGGCGCCGCCGTGAGCTTGGGCCGGCGAGCCGAGCGCGGGGCCGGCGTCCGTGTCCCCGCTCTCGCCTGCGGCCCCACGGTAGAGCAGGGGCGCGGGAGGATCTTTGAGCGGTGGCGACGGGGCCCGGCGGAACCTGCGCAGGGGCAGAGGGGGCAAGGGGACATTGCCAGAGCAAAACAAACCACATGCTCACTGGCGGCACGAGTGTGTGGAGGAACGACTGTGGAGCCAAGTGTTTAGATTATTTTGTGTTGTGAGCTTATCGCAACGCTGAGTTGGTGTTGTGTTTCGTGTTGAGCGGTGTGAGTAGTGTAAGTGGATGACGGTGTATGTACACGGAGACACCGAGTGTCGTAGTGACTAGTGTGGAGTGCGTGTAGACACTGTGCGAGTGCGCCAAGGTCACCGTCCACGGCGAAGGTGCGGCCTGTCCTCGAGCCCGTCCTCCTCCAGGCGCCCGCCCGCACGTGGGACGGCCACGCGGGCGCGTCCCAGATCCCCAACCTCCTGGCAACACGAGCACCCACCACCAGTCTACCAGCCACTTACTCACTCACCTACTCATTTACTAAACTTCCAACTCACTGACATCATTCACCCACTTATTCACTAAACTATCAACTTACGAGCACACCAACTTCACCTGCCCATCCACCCACTCACTTACCTACCCACTTCCTTACTCGTCCGCTCACTAATCAATCAACTCACTAATCCACTTACCAACAAAGCTACTCAGTAATCTACAAAATCACTGATTCAATTGCTTATCAGCCCGCTCACCGACACTCTCACTCACTCAGCTACTCACTCATCCACCCACCCACATCCCCGCTCGCAGCCCGTTTTCCCGGCTCCCATCCCTAGCAGCACCTGCAGAGGGGACTTGGCGTAGTTGTGATTGTCCAGGAATGCAGGGAGGCGCGGGGCGGGGATGGAGGCGCTGGGGGAAGGGCCGGCCGCCTGCGCCGGAGGGGTGGCTCCGCCACCGCCGCCGTCGGCCGGGCTGCCGGGGGGCGGCGCCGCCATTGGGGGCACGGGGCCGGCAGCGTCCAGGGGGCTCTCCTCCCGCGCCCGGCTCCTTGCGTCTGAAACGACGGGCGAGGAGGAGGTGGTGGCGGCTCAGGCAGAACCGTCGTACGCGGACGGCGCTTGCCCAGCGCTCGCGGCAACTACACGAGGGGCAACGAGCAACTACGCACACGCGGACGGAGAGCGAACGGCTATTTGTGGCCGGGTCCCACCGTGCGCGCAGTTCCTCGTGTCGTGGGTCCTGGCGCCGTCCGCCGCCGCCCTGGCGCCGCTCTCGCCCACCGGCCGCGCGTTGTCCCTCGCCCCGGCCTCTGCCTTACAGGGACCCGCCCGCGACGGCTCCCCGTTCACGCCGCTTCCTGGCGCCGCCGGTGCCGCCCTGGCCTCTTGCACGCTGCCCTCGGGGGGCGGCCCGGCCTTGCCGTCGTGCGAGCTGCCCTCCGAGTGCAGGGTGGCCTTGATCGTGGCGTCCAGCGGGTTCTGTGCTCGGATGAGTTCGGGTTGCGTAACCAGGACCAGCTGCCCAGCAAGGGAGTACACGTAGTAGTGTTACATATACAACGAACTCACAGACATGCACATACACGGTGCACACTCAGAGACGCGGTGGACTGGGGAGCTTGGGATGGTTTTCTGCTCGTCGTATCTCACGCTGATGTCTTCCTGCGCGCCACTAAGCGGCGCTATCGCATGGTGACATTCCCCTCTGCTGTAGTGCGAAATGGAATAAAAAAGCACGATTTTGTAATAACTACATGCGCAAGCCATTTTGCTTTCCACATGTCACTACTATAGGTCAAGAGCTTCTGATTATTTAAACGTTATAGCACAGATAATATGTGGTTACAGAAGATAGATATGTAGATAATAAATGTAATGCCCTCGTTTAAATATATGTGTATCTTTCTTGGGGAGAAACTAAAAGATAACTAATTAACATTGGAAGAAGAATCCTCGTGAAAGGAAGGCTTCAGATGCAGTGGTGGTGATGCTTTGGGGGCGAGGCTTGCTAGTGGTGGTGAGTGAGGCTGTGATGGTGAGATTGTGGTGGTGGTGGTGATTAGAGGAGGCTGTGGTGGTGAGGCTGTGGTGGTGGTGGTGGTGAGTGAGGCTGTGATGGTGAGATTGTGGTGGTGGTGGTGGTGATTAGAGGAGGCTGTGGTGGTGAGGCTGTGGTGGTGGTGAGGCTGTGGTGGTGAGGCTGTGGTGGTGAGGCTGTGGTGGTGAGGCTGTGGTGGTGGTGGTGAGGCTGTGGTGGTGAGGCTGTGGTGGTGGTGGTGAGGCTGTGGTGGTGGTGAGGCTGTGGTGGTGGTGGTGAGGAGGCTGTGATGGTGAGGCTGTGGTGGTGGTGGTGAGGCTGTGGTGGTGGTGAGGCTGTGGTGGTGGTGGTGGTGAGGAGGCTGTGATGGTGAGGCTGTGATGGTGAGGCTGTGGTGGTGGTGGTGGTGAGGAGGCTATGATGGTGAGGCTGTGGTGGTGGTGAGGCTGTGGTGGTGGTGAGGCTGTGGTGGTGAGGAGGCTGTGATGGTGAGACTGTGGTGGTGGTGGTGAGGCTGTGGTGGTGAGGCTGTGGTGGTGGTGGTGGTGAGGCTGTGGTGGTGGTGGTGAGGCTGTGGTGGTGGTGGTGAGGAGGCTGTGATGGTGAGGCTGTGGTGGTGGTGGTGGTGAGGAGGCTGTGATGGTGAGGCTGTGGTGGTGGTGGTGGTGAGGCTGTGGTGGTGAGGCTGTGGTGGTGGTGGTGAGGCTGTGGTGGTGGTGGTGAGGAGGCTGTGATGGTGAGGCTGTGGTGGTGGTGGTGAGGAGGCTGTGATGGTGAGGCTGTGGTGGTGGTGGTGAGGAGGCTGTGGTGGTGGTGGTGAGGAGGCTGTGGTGGTGGTGGTGAGGAGGCTGTGGTGGTGAGGCTGTGGTGGTGGTGAGGCTGTGGTGGTGAGGAGGCTGTGGTATGGTGGTGAGGCTGTGGTGGTGGTGGTGAGGCTGTGGTGGTGGTGGTGGTGAGGAGGCTGTGATGGTGAGGCTGTGGTGGTGGTGGTGGTGGTGAGGAGGCTGTGATGGTGAGGCTGTGGTGGTGGTGGTGAGGAGGCTGTGGTGGTGAGGCTGTGGTGGTGGTGGTGAGGAGGCTGTGGTGGAGGTGGTGAGGAGGCTGTGGTGGTGGTGGTGGTGGTGAGGAGGCTGTGGTGGTGAGGCTGTGGTGGTGGTGAGGCTGTGGTATGGTGGCGAGGCTGTGGTGGTGGTGGTGAGGCTGTGGTGGTGGTGGTGGTGAGGAGGCTGTGATGGTGAGGCTGTGGTGGTGGTGGTGGTGGTGAGGAGGCTGTGATGGTGAGGCTGTGGTGGTGGTGGTGAGGAGGCTGTGGTGGTGAGGCTGTGGTGGTGGTGGTGAGGAGGCTGTGGTGGTGGTGGTGAGGAGGCTGTGGTGGTGGTGGTGAGGAGGCTGTGGTGGTGAGGCTGTGGTGGTGGTGAGGCTGTGGTGGTGAGGAGGCTGTGGTATGGTGGTGAGGCTGTGGTGGTGGTGGTGAGGCTGTGGTGGTGGTGGTGGTGAGGAGGCTGTGATGGTGAGGCTGTGGTGGTGGTGGTGAGGAGGCTGTGATGGTGAGGCTGTGGTGGTGGTGGTGAGGAGGCTGTGGTGGTGAGGCTGTGGTGGTGGTGGTGAGGAGGCTGTGGTGGTGGTGGTGAGGAGGCTGTGGTGGTGGTGGTGGTGGTGGTGAGGAGGCTGTGGTGGTGAGGCTGTGGTGGTGGTGAGGCTGTGGTGGTGAGGAGGCTGTGGTATGGTGGTGAGGCTGTGGTGGTGGTGGTGAGGCTGTGGTGGTGGTGGTGGTGAGGAGGCTGTGATGGTGAGGCTGTGGTGGTGGTGGTGGTGGTGAGGAGGCTGTGGTGGTGAGGCTGCCGTGTGAGTCGAGCGAGCAGCACCTGCTGCAGGGCCTCCAGCACGGTGTTGCGGTTCGCCTTGAGCATGGTGAGCTTCTGCTCATAGATCTGCCTCCGGTCCGGCACCACTGCCATCAGGTTGAAGCGGATGTCGTGGTAAGGCTCCCTGAGGGCAACACGACACAACAATCACAGAGATAACTGTGTGGCCTTTGGGTTCGTGCAGTGAGCGAGCATCTATTGCAACTGCGTTGGTGCACGAGCAGGTGGTGAGTCAGGAAACAATGCCCGGCTGCATTTGTCTCGCCGGTGCTAATATTTAATCACCGCACGGGCTGACCTGATACGACTTGGCACAGGGCCTGGATGTTGAACTCGGGTTAGTGGCTTTGTAACGTAGTGCGCAAAGCACCACGCGACCACTCACGCAAGACAATGCAACTACAGAGATGCATGACACAGCCACCGGCATACAACACTGCATTACAGACTCTGTGGTTGCAATGACAGACCTCGCAGTGCTTCACAAGAGGAATTTGTGCTCGCGTTATTTAAACACGGCGTGGTTATCATCGGAGGTAGCAGCGTCGCCACGGTGGCCACCGTCGGCGTGGTGATTTTTTTAAAGTGTCGGATCATGGCCCCGATCCATTCTCCTGCTAAATAAGGGCAGTTGGGCGTGGTGCTAACCACCCTCACTCAACATCACGGGTACATCCCAGCTGCAGCTCAGGGAGGTCCTGCCCGATCGCTGCATAGCCACCGTGGCTACGTAGGCGCTGTGTCGGGACCAGGGGGGCGGCGGTCTCCTCGCTGCACTCACCCCCCCGTGGCCAGGCCGATGCGCTCCATGATGACTCTCCTGGCCTTATCCGTCCACTCCTCCTCCTCGCCCCACGGCCCTGCGCCGCACCGTCGCCCCACGCACAGCACCGGCAGACGCGGACCGGAAACACGTACACATGTAAACACAGGCACCCGCACACGCGTACACATGTAAACACAGGCACCCGCACACGCGTACACATGTAAACACAGGCACCCGCACACGCGTACACATGTAAACACAGGCACCCGCACACGCGTACACATGTAAACACAGGCACCCGCACACGCGTACACATGTAAACACAGGCACCCGCACACGCGTACACATGTAAACACAGGCACCCGCACACACGTACACATGTAAACACAGGCACCCACACACGCGTACACATGTAAACACAGGCACCCGCACACGCGTACACATGTAAACACAGGCACCCGCACACGCGCACACATGTAAACACAGGAACTCACACACGCGTATACATGTAAACACAGGAACCCACACACGCGCACACATGTAAACACAGGCACCCGCACACGCGCACACATGTAAACACAGGCACCCGCACACGCGCACACATGTAAACACAGGCACCCGCACACGCGCACACATGTAAACACAGGAACCCACACACGCGTACACATGTAAACACAGGCACCCGCACACGCGCACACATGTAAACACAGGAACCCACACACGCGCACACATGTAAACACAGGCACCCGCACACGCGCACACATGTAAACACAGGCACCCGCACACGCGTACACATGTAAACACAGGCACCCGCACACACGTACACATGTAAACACAGGCACCCGCACACGCGTACACATGTAAACACAGGCACCCGCACACGCGTACACATGTAAACACAGGAACCCACACACGCGTACACATGTAAACACAGGAACCCACACACGCGTACACATGTAAACACAGGAACCCACACACGCGCACACATGTAAACACAGGAACCCACACACGCGCACACATGTAAACACAGGCACCCGCACACACGTACACATGTAAACACAGGCACCCGCACACGTGTACACATGTAAACACAGGCACCCGCACACGCGTACACATGTAAACACAGGAACCAACACACGCGTACACATGTAAACACAGGTATCCGCACACATGTAAACAAAGGCCACCCGCACACACGTACACACGTACACGCAGGCACGCGCAAGTAGGCACATACTGACACGCATATAGGCAAGCATAGATGTACACATACGAGTAGATCTACAGCCCACAACTGACAGTACACGTGTTCACTCGTAATTCCCGGTTGAACGTGGGCTGTAACACTGCAGAAATAATGCTATAGAGGGAAAGTGGATGCACAAATAAAACATTTAAAACTGTTTGGTATCCCATTGTGGTCACTCCACGTGTTGATCTATGGGTCGCTGTGTGGGTCTATGGGTCTCTGTGTGAACTCGGGTCCACTGCGCGCGCTCTCCGAGGGCACGAGTGGGATTCCCCTGTTCCTGCTGCAAATCACCATCGCGATATACAACCGATACATCGATCTGTAGCTGCTGCTCAATTCATATCCGTACGAAGGAAGATGACCACAAAGCAGCGGCAGTGTTTATGGCGGAGAGCGCTGCTCAGCGTCCGCGCTTGGCATGAACGGAGTGCCACGGAAGCGCCGAGGGAGGGCCGTGGGAGCATGCCTCACCGTGGTCGATGGGGTAGGCCTTGAGGCCATCGAGCTCAAAGAGCCGCCCGTTGATGGGGACGTAGCTGACGAAGTGAAAGGCCTCCATGGTGCGCACGGCGCTCAGCCCGTTCTGTTTCTCGGGCAAATGGCGCGGCTCTGGCCTGAATCGCAGCACGACGCAGCGCAGTACGCAGCGCAAAACAAGCACGCGAGATCTTGAATACAGGATTGCTAAGCACAATGCAGCCACAGAACATATGCAGCACACAACAAATGCAGCACAGCACAATGCAGATTGCAGCACCAAACACCGCATGGATCACACATGCGAACGAGCACAAGTTAAAACACGCACAATACAACACATCGGAGGCACACACTCCAGTCAGTACAGAAGCAAAGAGTATTACACACACAGCACGTCATCATATATACCACGGCCAGCAGAGGCAAGGAGCACACACAAACATTCAGAATAACTCCCATGCATGTAGTCAAGAGAGAAAGGTAGCCCAATAGAGATGCTTGCATAGTAACTATCTTGAACACCAGGCACACTAAACACCCTCCACACATCCAGCATAATACTCACCCAACACTTATCACTCAATGCTCCGAACACACACAACGCAACACTCACATAGACCAGCATGCGGCACTGTCATTCTCGCAGTGCAGAGTTCTAAACCAAAGGTCTATTGGCACTTTACTTCAGTTCCGAACTGTCCCCAAAGTGATCAGGAAGGGCATGCCCGTATAAACACATGAGTGAGGCAAAAGGCAGCAGCAGGTAATAGTGGCTAGCTTTCATGTACTGATGATTCCAAAGAAGGATGGACCCTATAGATTTGTCTCATCTGCTGATGCTTGTAATTTTGCCTCGATTTATTTGGTCTAAAGCATATTGGGAGGACCGATCCTTTGGTCACAATTGTGCCTTTTGATGGAACTTTGAGTGGGAGATTCGTGACAGAAAAGCGCCATATATGTAAACAAAATAAAAACGACTTGACTACAAATTACCGTACGTGTGTATACCTACCACTCCCAATGGGGAGTTGTGTGCCACTAGGTGAGATGACAGAGCTGTGCGGGACAGCGGTGGCAGCACCCCATGACGCCCACGCCCCCTCATGGGGCATGCGCCGGCACAGCACTCTCACAGCGCTCGCACAGCGCTCGCACAGCGCACGCACAGCGCACGCACAGCGCACGCACAGCGCACGCACAGCGCACGCACAGCCCGCTCGCCAGCCGGGCTCGACTCACCTGGCGTGGCTGTTGTGTGCCTTGGCGAGCGCCGGAGCGTTCCCGATGGCGTAGCCCTTGCTCTGCAACAAACCGGGTGCCCCGGTGCCAACGGCGGTTATTCCGGCAACATCAGCTTGTGCCACCATGGCAGTGGTGATGGTGAGAATGGTAGATATGGTGGTGATTGTAGTCATGGTTGTGTTAGTATTAGTATTGATGGAAGTGATTGTTACGATGTCAGTAACGGTGATGGTAGTAATGATGATGGTAGTCATGGCGATGATAGTAGTGATAGCTGTGGTTGAAGCGGTGATGGTATTGGTGCTGGTGATGGTAGTCATGGTGATGGTGGTAGCGATGGCTGTAACGGCTGTAATGGCTGCAGAAGCAGAGGTGATGATGGGAGTGATGCTCATGATGGTATTAGTCCGGAAAAGGCAGCAATGGAGGTGATGATTGTGCCTGTTGTGACAATGTCGAGGTGTGCGGTCGGGGGTAATGGGAGCGATTGCGGTGATGGCGGCGGGGGTGGCTGTGCGACTGCCAGGACGACACCAATGTCTGCGTTTGTGCTGGTCATGTGGCGTCACCTCGGGGCCGAATCCACGAGTGAAGTCCTTCATGCGGCTCAGGGTAGGGCCCAGCTCCACCTCCTCACAGTTGAGCAGCACGCTGAGCAGCGCGTGCGTCGCACAAGAGTTGGGGATCAGCTGCACCGTGCACACGCGCAGCGGCGGTGGCGTCGCGCTCAGATTAGCTTGCGCCGCACCAACTTCGGTGACATCGATGAGATGTAACTTAATTTATTAATTTACTTGCACTGCGATTTCGGTGACTGAAAAGTACACTTTAGGCTGCGGTAGAAGAATCCAAAACTCCAAGCGCGACAAAGAGGTAAGAGCACAGAAGTGGCAGAACCCCACCACGCCACCTTCAACAACTCCCTCGTTCATAAACAGTACATGCTAGAGCTGGAGTTATGTGGCGACGGACACAAGTGGAACACACTTTAATCTAAATTGTCTTATGGTTGTTATTGTTTGACTTGCATCACACTGGGATTTTTGCACACAACGTCGTAATGAGGTGTTTTTTTTCCTGGAAGATTTGCTGGTTTATCCAGGATGTTTCTGTTGCGCGTCGTCGCTTTAAGATGTTCTCTGTTCATATTTTGTTTGTTGCGGTTGCACGTATGACACGTATGAGAGACCACAAACAAATTACTAACAGTAGGACATGGTGACTAACAAAACACTCACCACAACAGGTACTACACATAACTTATTATCACAGCACTCGCAAAATCTCTTAAAAACCTCACAAGGACATGCAAAACCACGGGACGGTAATGAACACTGTCCAATACTTGTTTTGAGTGGTGTGGCGTTGACGTTTAGCTTCCGAAAAACGACAACAGATTGGCAGCAAGGCATATCACGAAGGAGCCAGGACGACGTGTGCGCAACGCACCTGGTGCGCGAAGAACATATTGTTGACGATGTCGTCGTGGATGACGGACGCCTCATCCAGGAGCGGAGAGACCTTCCTGCGTGAGCGGCGCTCCTCGATCCACTTGAAGAGGAATATGAACCCATACACGGGCCTGAGGCACGCACGCCACACGGGGGGATGGATGACTGATGGTGTGGGGTCACAGGGCACGGGGTGACGAGGCCAACCAGTATATGGGGTCGCTGGATTCAGCTTGCAGGGCAAAGTCGCTCTCAGAGATGTCTCCACACTGGGGCTGGTGTTACACGGTGTGGAGGCGGCAGGGGGATCGCTCACGGAGGTAGAAGTGAAGCTTCACCGTCTGTAATTGTTTTATAAATAAGTTGCGATTCAATGTAGAATCTGGCGTCCAGTGAGGATGTGGTATTCGGTGAAGCCCGATAATGGTGTCTTCCTGGTCACAATTTCACGCACAATAAGGCAGTGAATGCCAATTATATTAAGATCTAATTGAATCGTTGTGAGCTCTGAGGGCTCATTGGTAGACACACACACAAAGCTTATTACACAGCTAACTATATAGTCGAGAGGTTATGTTCGATAAAGTAAAGACAAACACGCGATACAAGAATCGAAAAGGTTCAAACCACACTGGGTAGGTCTTAGCGGTCGTGTAACATTGCCCGTCGCCGTGATGTTCGGCAACTTGGGGGGGGACATCGGACATGGCGCAGAACAACAGTTGCACAACCCTAAAACACATCGGAGGTAATAACTCATTATAAGATGTGCAAGTCACTGCTCACCCATTGCATTTGCTCTGCAGGTCGTAAATCTCTTCCACTTGTACTCCATTCACCCCTTGGGAAACAAAAGCATGATGAGTGAATGGCACACCAAGATGTTTCAACTCAAATGAAGGTCCTCATTCTCACCCACGGAGAGGTGGTACTCGAATCAACGTTTGGGTGTTCTAACCCAGCGTGTCTCCATGTCCATCTGCACTGGTGGCCGTGAGTGATGGAAATTCCACATTCATAGGACGTAACCAACCCCTTCACAGGACATCCACTGCTACTTTACTCAAAGTGGTGCTTATTTTATGGATCTCAGTCAGCACCCGACAGGAATTAGAACTCGCATCGCGCCCAATGAGAGATTTGCCTTCATGGCACCAAGGTAAATAGAGGACTGCATAAATATAACGGGACAAAAAGAGTAACGTTTTACTTCCTCACAGAGCCGGAAACATTACAATTCTCAGCCATCAGCTCAGTCTTGAGACTATTTGGGAAGTGATGTATAGTTATCTCAGCTTGTTTTATTTGAATGTCTGCACGATGACCACCTGACTCACGACTCGTCCTCAAGAAGAGGGCCCACACCGAACACCCCCACGCCACTCCCAGCGGAGAGGCCGTGGCCCCCCATACTCACGACAGGACCTGAGCCATGTCAGTGGGCACTCACCAAAGTCCTCTACCAGGAGTGTGAAGAGACCTGCCAGAGTGGAGAGCACAGGGCACGTCAGAATTAAACACGTTCCGATGGGCAACTCGTGCTCGCTGCTGTGCCAACTCGCTGCGTTGTATCCGCTTGCTGTGAGCGCATATACACAGACATGTATACACTGTTACACTGTACACAACATGTATACACTGTACACAACATGTATACACTGTACACATCTTCTTGGTTCTTTCGGTAAAGTATTATGTTTTATTATGTTTTATTTTTATTATTTTATTACTTCCCTTCTACGTGACTTTACCGAAAGAACCAAGAAGATGAATCCCTGCAGTCACGAAAGCTTTAAATCGAAAATTGTACACAACATGTATACAGTTACACTGTACACATGTATACACTGTACACAACATATATACACTGTACACAACCCAATAACCAGCTATAACCCCACACCGCGTCCCCATAAACAGCCGCCGTGCACCACGAAGTGGCGGTGACGTCACCACGGCGCCTGTGCCAGGCCAGGTGCACCTCGAGACCCACGTGGAGCGTCGAAGGCTCTCTGCTGACAGGAGGTCACGGGACAGACCCCGCAGATACCACGGGTTGACCGGGACGGCTGGATGACCGTAAACACAACAACACCGCCGCCGCCACCACCAGCAGCCCGCTCGCCCGGGCGCGACCTCAACCCTCCCTCCGCCGCGGCCTCCGTGTCCCCCCCGTGCCCCTCGTGCCCCTGGTGTCTCCCCCCCCAGTGTCCCCCACCCCAGTGCCCCCCACGTGCCCCCCGGGCCCCCCTCACCAGGGTCGCTCTCGAGCTCGAGCCACCCCTTGTTCATGATCCCGCGCAGCTCTTCCAGCACCATCCGGGCACCCGGGGACCCGGATCGCGACTCCGACTCACGCGGGGCTCGCGGTCTCCGCCGTCGCGCACTCGCGGCGGCCATCTTACTGCGGGAGAGGCGCTCGCCGCTCAGGTCATCGCCCTGCGACTGCCGCCCGCGGGGAGACCGCGGCGCAAAACTCGCGCGGGTTTACCCGCAGCAACATGGCCGCCGATCGGCGACCACTCGTAACGTGACGTAGCCGACAACGCATCGCAAACAACCGCGCGCTCGATTGGCCGTGACCCTGAGGAGTGGGAGGGGCGGAGCTGAGCGGCCTCGGCCAATCACGGCCGAGGTTGCTGCCGCCTGATGAGGCCCAACAGCGGGGCACCCGGAGCGGCTGTCCCGGGGGTCTCCTCCGCCGTGCCGCGACCCCCCCCCCCCCCCCACTGCGTTGTGAGTTCCTTGGTCTCTGAGCCTCTGCGTCTTGGGCCCTGGTGAGTCCATCAGTTTCGAGTCTCCTGGCGTCTGCGACCCTGAGCCTTGGACCCCCGGCGGCTCCCCGAGTCCCCGAGTCTCAGGGGGCCTGGCCGGCGATGTCGCGCCCCGCGTGGTGGGGAGAGCAGGCACCGCGCCGAGCTGGACGCGATCTTCTTCCCGCGGGGGCCTCTGAGCGGCCTCCCCGAGCCCGGCTCCGCGCGCCACTCGGACTTTTGGCTCTTCCTGGACCGCTTCCAGGCGCGGCAGGCGAAGCAGCAGGGCTCCCAGCCTGGGCCAGGGCTCCCAGCCCGGGCAGCCCGGGCCCGGCCCAGCGGCCACGGGTGGCGCGCTGGGCCTCCCCGCCGTCTACGACCGACAAGACCGCATCAACGTGGCGCTCGCCGTGCCCGGCCTCGCGGAGCGGCTGGCGAGGCCAGCTCGTCGGGGAGGCGGGGACCGGAGTGGGGAGGAGCGCGGTGTGAGGGGCGAGAGGGGGGACCTGGGTGGGATTGAAGAGCGGAGATACCGGGGCGAGCGGGGAGACGGAAGCAGCAGGGGCGAGAGGAGCGAGAGAAGAGAGGCGAGGGGCGAGCGGGGAGAGCGGTGCCGGTCCGGACGCTGGGACCAGCGGCCTGCAGGCGAGGGGGGCCGGGAGGAGGAGCAGCAGCAGGAGCAGGAGGATGACGGCCTGACCCCGGCTCGCCTGCGCGAGTTCCAGGCCGGTGCTGCTCCACTACGTGGACTTCTGCCAGAAGCAGCGGATGAGCCGCCTGTCCAAGCTGCGGCGGGACCAGAGGAACCTGCCCATCCACGAGTACAGGGAGCAGCTGGTGGAGCTGGTGCGCGCCCACCAGGTGGTGGTGGTGGCGGGGGACACGGGCTGCGGCAAGTCCACGCAGGTGCCCCAGTACCTGCTCTCGGCAGGGATGAGCCGCGTGGCGTGCACGCAGCCGCGTCGCATCGCCTGCGTGTCCCTCGCCAAGCGCGTCTCCTACGAGAGCCTGGGCGAGCACGGCTCCCAGATCGGGTACCAGATCCGCTTCGAGACGTCCAAGACGGCCGCCACCAAGGTGCTGTTCCTCACCGAGGGCCTCCTGCTGCGCCAGATGCAGACGGAGGGCTTCATGTCGCGCTACGACGTCCTCATCCTAGACGAGGTCCACGAGCGCCACCTGCACTGCGACCTCCTGCTCGGCGTGCTGCGGGAGCTGCTGCCCCTGCGAGGAGACCTCCGCCTCGTGCTCATGTCGGCCACCATCAACATCCAGCTGTTCTCGCGCTACCTGGGCGGCGCGCCCGTGCTGCAGGTGCCGGGCAGGCTCTACCCCATCCAGGTCGTCTACCGGCCCGTCCCCGAGGAGGAGAAGACGGGCAAGTCGGAGAGGATCGACCCGCGGCCCTACCTGCGCATCATGCAGAGCATCGACCACAAGTACCCGGCCGACGAGCGCGGCGACCTGCTCGTCTTCCTCAGCGGCATGGCCGACATCGCCCGCGTGGCCGAGGCGGCGCAGAGCTACGCGGTGGAGACGAAGCGCTGGGTCGTGCTGCAGCTGCACTCCACGCTGTCCGCGGAGCAGCAGGACAAGGTGGTGATGAGGGCCACGGCACGACGGGGTGTGGGAGGGGGGAGAAAGTCGGGCAGAGTTTGCACTACCCGATTATTAACGAAGGGGTAAAGGAAGGCAAATTGTTGGTCACCGTGGCTCACACGACGACGTGCTAAATGTTGGTCTTTGTTGCCAAATTCATTCTTGGCGCTTGTCACCACCTGCTACCATCATCATCATCACCCGATATCAGTAGCAGGATTGTCACTGGTTGGCACCTGAATTTAATGCACACTTCAGAAAATGAGATAAATTAGAACGTTGCATTGGAATCCTTTTGAGGACCATACTGTAATGTAACTTATTTAGCACTTCCTCAAGAGGTCGCAAAGCTTTTTCAGGAATGTCCTGCATTGAGGTATCTGGCCATTTAAATAATTAACGTGTGATTTGAATACACGGAGAGAACTCATGTCCATCACTAGAAAGGTCCACACATGGGTTCACAACCCCACTTGCTATAATGCCATCCCTGGGCTACTACACAGCCCAGTGGGTTGCAGAATAAAACATCTTGATGTGATCCACCAGCCCTCAACTCAGGAAGTGCTGTGTCACAGGTGTGGACTGGCACGTGCTGATTGTCAACGTCTTGTAATGCGCTGATAAACTTGCAACTCGACAACCGAATGGGAAACAAATAGAACATCTGAGCGACACGGCCTCGATAGCTTTTTTGCGTCTGTAGTTAGCGGAAGCGACGTCTTCTCCCCTCCTGCGTTGCGTCTCCTGCGCAGGTGTTCGACCTGGCCCCGGAGGGCGTGAGGAAGTGCATCGTGTCCACCAACATCGCCGAGACGTCCGTCACCATCGACGGAGTGCGCTTCATCGTGGACTCGGGTACGCGGCCGCAGCGCCCCGGCCCCGGCCTAGAGACGGGGCCTCGCCTCCAGCCGTGCGGTGTGCGCGAGTTTCTCGATGTGTTCGTCCCCGTGCTTGTCAACAAGTTCACTGTTCTTGCCTCTATGCGCTGGGCTGTTGGAGTTTTTAGGAGCAAGGCTGATGAGGAGGTGGCTACAGGTGCAGTAGACAAGCAGGTTGGTCTCAAGCTGCCAGCTTGAGTGGAGAGACATCCCCTTTTCATAGATATTGGTTTCTTAAGAGGGGCACTCTTTTATCTTTAGCAAAAAAACCCAACCCTCTTGAATATTTTGTTGAGTGTCTAAGGCTCTGCTCGGTAAAGTTAAACAAAGTAAAATCGCATAAATTCACAAACTGAAAGTGGACCTCAAGCTGGCTGCTGCTATCACCAGAGATTGGGTTCACAAATGTACAAGACTTCTCATAGACACAGCCTCATACTTGCGCGCTGTGGTCGCAGGCAAGGGAACACACCAATACATGGCCTGTGCAAGGCAGGGGGGCCTCAGGCCTTTAACAGGCTCTCTACATCACAGTGTGAATGATGAACGTGTTAGTCACGTGTGATGGCTCTTGTCCTGTGATCCAGAAATTTGGAGGTGAGGGTTGATGGATTGGATAAATTTAACTCCCAAACCCGCTGGGCTACAAGGTGGCGAGGAGATGGCAGTACAGTACAGTACAGCAAATGGGTTATGAAACCATCATCTCGAACATGTGGGTATTCTCTGGGTACTATTGTTTTCTCTTTATGCAAAAACACTCCGTAAAGGATTTGGTCAAATATCTCTATGCAGGACTTTCGTGGAATAATCTCCACACTCAGCGGGCCTTTCCCGGGTAGTAGCCTGACGTCATGGATGTCCTCTGCTGCCGCGCAGGCAAGGTGAAGGAGATGAGCTACGACCCCAAGGCTAAGATGCAGCGGCTGCAGGAGTTCTGGATCAGCCGCGCGAGCGCGGAGCAACGCAAGGGCCGCGCGGGGCGCACGGGGCCCGGGGTTTGCTTCCGCCTGTACGCCGAGTCGGAGTACGACGCCCTGGAGCCGTATGCCGTGCCCGAGGTCCAGCGCGTGCCACTTGACTCGGTGGTGCTGCAGGTGACCACGCGCCTCCCACACGCGTCACCGCGGCCACCTCCCCGCCCGCAGTCCCTCGTAGCCCTGTGTGTGCCCTGTGTGTGTGTGTGCCCTGTGTGTGTGTGTCCTGTGTGTGTGTCCTGTGTGTGTGTGCGCACCCTGTGTGTTGTAATCTGTATGTCCATAAAGTTGTTGGAATTACGAGATTTCCGTTGCACATAGAGCTATTTTATTGTATTATTTATTCATCATGTTTATACAATTTCTCTGGTTTTCTATGCAGCGCTTGTAAACACTCTCTTCCCATATATTACGCTAAAAAAATATGGCCGGTGGAGGCCTCACGTGACGTTCGTTCTTCGCTTCTGCTGCTGTAGATGAAGAGCATGGGGCTGGGAGACCCGCGCCTGTTTGGGTTCCTGGAGCCACCCCCGGCTTCCAGCCTGGAGACGTCCATGCAGTTCCTGCAGGAGCAGGGAGCATTGGACGAGCAGGAGGAGCTCACGCCGATCGGGCGCGTCCTGGCCACGCTCCCACTGGACGTGCTCACGGGTACGGGGAGGAAGCGAGCCGTGACTCGCCACGTCGCCGCAGGGACACGCGTGCTCAAGAGGAGCGTGGACGGAGTATCCACCGGAGTCTTGTTCTTCCTGCCGTGTTCCCCACTCCCCTCGGTCCTGACCCATTCCTGCTCCTCTTGCTCCGCTCGTTCTGTCCTGGGCCATAATCTCCATGCCCACTCTACAGTCCTTCACATCCTGGCTCACCGCTTGGAGCCACCTCTATATTCGCCTGCCCCTCAGTGTCCGCCCCTGGCGCTTCCATATTCATCATCTGATGTACCTACGAGCCACTTGAGTCAGCTCTTAGCTTGTCTGCTATGAGTACCATTCTTCCTTTTTCCTCATCTCTTTATATCCTTTTATCTTTGAAATCCATCTTGCTACCCTCATTTCTGTGGTGCACAACATGTGCTCCAACTTGGCTTTTACACTCCGAACATTCAGACCCGTGCATCAGTACTGGTCTAATTACTGTCTTGTAAATCACGTCGGGAACTTGGTATTCCTCGCCGCATGCCTGCTGCTGCCGCTCCTTTGCATCGTACTCGTCCGAAGAGGGCCGCGAATGAGATGCCGTCTCCACCGCTGTGGTGACGGCATCTCGCCGTGACGGTGTCAGGGTTTTGTGTCGTCTCTGTCGGCTGCGTCATAACAGAGCCGTGCCGCCGCTGTTTCTGCTGCAGGGAAGATGCTGCTCGTGGGCTGCGTGCTGGGTGCGGTGGAGCCGGTGCTCACCATCGCGGCCGCCATGAGCGTGCAGTCGCCCTTCCACCGCAGCGCCCACACGAACCCCGACTGCTCCCGCGCACGCCGCTCGCTCGAGAGCGACCACGGCGACCCGCTCACCCTGCTCAATGTGTTCAACGAGTGGGTGCAGGTACCGTGCTCATGCTCGCGCGCTAACACTCTCGCGCAGTGCATTGTTACGTTTCATTATCGGCAACAACCATTATCTATCCATTGCCGGATGAATCCTCTGGAGCACGTCCCACCCCCCCCCCCCCTCTTTTTTTTTTCCTGAAGACGACCGCTTGCGTTGCGATCGAAACGTAGTTTTCTGTTATTTTTTATTATTTCCTTTGAGCCTATTTACGTGATTTTACCGAAAGGCCCAAGAATATAGTTTAGTACTTGGGGAAGATTGATTTGCCTAGACCTTGGTAGACACCACAGGGCTCCCCCCACTTTCAATTCAACATCATGGGGGAGTGCAGCGTACACTTCCTGTGTGTGGATTCTGGAAGCTGCCAAGTATATGGGGCTACCCTGGTTACCAGGGGCTACCCTGGTTACCAGGGGCAGTGATGCAATGGGCTTGACAGGAGGGCACGGTCAAGTCCCAACTACACTTATGAGTACAGAAAGGGAATAGGAGGCACGTACCAGTTCAACTAACTAAATTTAAAAAGGATGAATAAACACTCTTTGGTTCTTTCGGTGAAGTCCTGTCGATAGAAAATTAATAGATCACGACGTTTTGATCGCAACACAAGCGACCGTCTTCAGGTGAAGACGGAGTATGGATTCCTGCAGTCACGAAAGCTTCAAATCAAGATAGGATGATTTTTTTAATAAGATGCAGACTATTCTGTGGGAAAAATATCCCCAGCCATCCTGCACAGCTGACTTGTTACACATTGTACTTGACTCCGTTGGCCTGTGCATCCACCAGGCTGTAGTTTACAGCAATGATGGTGTTGGGAAGGTGGTGCGGAGCGCGCAAGCTTCCTCCCAGCTCAGTGTTCGGTGTTGGCATCCCTCATCGAGGCCTGGTTTATCTGCCTACAGGTGAAGTCGGGCGGTCAGGTGCCATCACGCAAGTGGTGCAAGAGGCACGGGCTAGAGGAACAGCGCCTCTACGAGATCGCCAACCTGCAGCGCCAGTTCAAGGTGGCCCCCCGCAAGTGTGTGTCACAGTCGGGACGATCGTCCGTGGTGCCTCTGTGTGTTTGTGCTTTCGTGACAATGTTTTATGTGTGCTCAGGAGCTGGCCATGTGCTGTGCGAGTCACTGCTGTTGGTGTGCTGCAGGAGCTGCTGTTGGTGAATGAGTCGCTGCTGTTGGTGTGCTGCAGGAGCTGCTGTCGGTGAATGAGTCGCTGCTGTTGGTGTGCTGCAGGAGCTGCTGTCGGTGAATGAGTCACTGCTGTTGGTGAATGAGTCACTGCTGTTGGTGAATGAGTCACTGCTGTTGGTGAATGAGTCACTGCTGTCGGTGAATGAGTCGCTGCCGTTGGTGTGCTGTAGGAGCTGCTGGTGCAGTTCGGGCTGCTGGGTGGCGGGGAGGAGCCTGTGCGGGACAGCGTGCAGCGGGTGCGGCAGCACGGGGAGCGGCGCCGCCTGCACCAGCTGCGGCGTGAGCACGAGCAGCGCGGCCCCCAGAAGCGCAAGCTGCTGCGGCTGCAGGACGGGGGCCTCGAAGAGGATGACGGCGGCGATGACGGGGAAGACGACGGCGCCAGCGGCTCCAGCAAAACCATCGACATCCAGGTCCCTCCTCCTGTCCCTCCTCCCTCCTCCGCCGTCGCGGTGCGCCTGCGTTCAAAGATGACACGGCCACCGAGCCTCAAGAAGACTCCTCCGGAGAGATGGATGATGGGATTCTAGGCCAGTTATCTTTTTAATTACGTCACAAAATGGGAGGAAACTGGAATACAAACTCTGACACACATTTCAAGTTTAAGTTGTATTGCATCTCCTCACTGCGCAAGAAAATGATGAGAATTATACAGACGAAGAGGATGATGTCTGCATGACAATCGACGTCATGAAACCGAGCCCTCGCTTCTTTCCAATCACCCCCCCCTCCTCCTCCCAAGCCCTCGCTCTGCGCAGATCCCCGTCGCATTGTCGTGGAATTTCAGTTATACAATCCACCAACCCCCCCCCCCCCCCCACTGAGGGCACCGGATCGCAGAGGGCCTTTGGCGAGCCAGCGAGCGCGGTCGTGAGTCTCGGCTTTAATAGGTGCTCGCTAACAGCACTTTCCACAACGGTCTGTGTAAGGCTACACGGGGGATCTTTGTCTTGGCCTGCGCAGGACGTCAAGTTCAAGCTGCGCCACGACGTGGGCCGCCTGCACGCCTCCTCGCAGAGCTCGCGGGGGCTGTCGCGGCGCCAGCTGAGCGTGCTGAAGATGGTGCTGTGCAGTGGCCTCTACCCCCAGCTGGCGATCCCCGATGAGTGCAACGCTGCCAGGAAGGACTCGGATCAGGCAGCTCTCCCACCGTCCACGACGGCCACGTTCACACCTCGCACACTCAGACCGCTCTCCACGAAGTCGCGTGCAACATTTCAAACGAATTTGTCTCAAGTCACTCCCCGCGTGGCATTCAGAACCTCACACTTGCAAATGAGACTCTCCCTGTCTTGAATCCGTGCCTGAACAAACGTCACAATCTCTACCCACGTGCAAAACCTCGCGCCCGTGTCGCGCTTGCACGCAGCCTCACGCGAGTTTCCCCGCAGGTGTTCCACACGCGGAGCAAGCCGTTCGTCGTGCTGCACCCCACCGCGGTGTTCGCCAACAGCCCCGAGCTGCTGGCCCCACCCGAGGAGCGCGAGGACACGCGTCCCGGTAGGTGAAGCGATAACCGGCCTGCCTGACTGGGTATATAGAATAGGCGCAACAGGCGTATCTCCTGCGTTGTAGCGCTGGAAGAGTTCTCACCAGAACAAAAATAGAGGTTTGCGCACAATGCCTGTGCTGGCATCTCTGCACTGACTTCCAGTGAATTGTGGAATCGATTTTTGTATTCTATTACTGACATTTAAAGCACTAAATGACATCAGATTGCTCGTTAGATTTATTGACTCGCTATCGGCCTCCGCTTGCACCGAGGTTAGCTGACGGTGGTGACCCCGACGCTGCGCTCTTGAGGGTCGCGCTCGGGTGGAGAGGAGGTGGCTCCCCTGGGGTCGCACTCTGCGACTCTGGAACTCTGCCACATCGCGTCAGAGGTTTTGCCTACAGTGGCTTTTTTAGATCAAAGATCAAGGTCTATTTCTGTAATTTAGCCTCGTGATTTTATGCTGGCATGCTATGGTTATTTTTTTTTCTTTATTCTATGGATATTTATTATTTTATGAGTTGTAAATATACGAGATTTGTCTGTTAATGTTTTATCTTCACTTGTGTAAAGTTTGTTGCCTTAAACCTTGTGGAATGAAAGGTGCTCTGAAAATAACGATTATTCTCAGAAAACCAATAAAAATTTCATAAAATATACATTTTCAAGATTCCCCAAAAGCCTGAGGCAGCCGATAAATAATTATGAGCCTCCGAGGAGCCTGCTACGTCACATTTACGGGTTCCGTGTTGCGGCTTGCCAAGTGTCGCAAGCTTCTCCTCTGCCCGTGTTGACCGCGCGCGCAGTGACGGCGGCGCCACGGAAGTCCGGGCAGAGCCACCGGCACCAGCTGCTGGCGTACGCCTCGCTGCTGGAGACGACCAAACCCTACCTGGTGAACAGCATGCGCGTGCCGGCGCTGCAGGTGCGCGCCCGGGCCCCGCAGTCCCCCGTTGTCCACGCAGCGCACACGCCCACGGAGCATGCCGTCCAAGCTTGGTATATTCGTCAGTAACGCCACGTTAAAAAGGAACGAGTACACGATAGGTGACGTTTCACAGGACGTCGGAGGCCACGGCAGGGGATGAACACCAACGGTGCACGCAAAACACGCCACGAGCACGGGCACACCGCCCCGTACAAACCGCACGCACGGACACGCCACGCGCCGCCTGCACCGTTTGCCGTGCCGCAGGCCCTTCTGCTGTTCGCGCGCTCGCTGGACACGAGCGCCGACTGCCGGCGCGTGGTGGCCGACGGCTGGCTGGAGCTGTCGCTGGGGGACGCCGAGCAGGCGCAGCAGGCGCTGTGGGCCGCGGTGCAGCAGCGCGAGTCCTGGGAGCGGCTGCTGCGCTCGCACCTGCTGAGCGGGGGAGCCGCGGCGACGCTCGGGGTGCAGCTGGGCCCCAGGCTCGAGCCTCAGGCCCAGGCTCGGCTCAAGGAGACGCTCACCGAGCAGCTGGCAGAGTTCCTCGAATCCAAGGCACGAACGCGCAGACAAACACGCACGCAAACTCGCAAATGAGACAAAGATCTGCCATGTCGCCTTTTAGAGACTGTTGGCAAGCACCTATCAAGGCTGCAAAGGCACACGAGGGGGTGGAAAACACCCCACCCGGCCAACTTTGTCTCCCCAGTGCTGATGTTTATAAACCGCACCAGGCACTCATTTAAGGCTGAGTTGACCTCTGGGACGCCCAGGACCGGTTCGGATATTCGTCACTGGTATTGGCCGTAAGCGGTATTGGCCGTAAGTGGGAATTGAACTCGGGCCATAGCGCAGTGTGCTCACCACTACGCTACCGCTTCTCACATTACAAACGTGAACTCACACGCAAGCATTCAATCACATACGTACTCGCAAACGCGTGTGTGCGTGCGTCGGGACAGGTGGAATACACCATGCGCCGGCTGGGTGGGCTGGAGATGAAGACGCTGTACGTGGGGCCAAGTGAGGCCGTGAGCGCAGAGCCCGATCTGGCCGGGCCTCTTCCCCATGGCCGAGAGTCGGCCCCACCCCACCAAGGGCGGCGTGGCCGTCAACTCCTACCTCACCTACGGCTGCCTCCTGGTGAGGCCTCCGCACTCGCCCTGCGCTTAAGAACCATGGTGGTGCTGTAATACTTTATGCCCGACAAAATTACCGATAGGCCCATATATGGAAGAAAGTAGGTGTGGTGTTGCCCATTTATAGTCTTGTGAAACCTGAATGAAGGTGTCTATTGTATCCATTCTGCTCAGTCGATCTGACGGCCACATTAAAACGTCCGTTTTTATATTCCCCTACATTCTGCGATTGAGAGTGCATACAAAACAATGGCGTAAATGTCCGATTGTTATTTTTGAGAATTCATCACGATCCATTCGAGGGTTTTTCACTGCCTAAATTTATTGGCATGGATCGTGTAATCCCATTGGTTAGTGTAGCATCATGTGTACTGCCCCCCCTAATTTGATTGGCCAATTGCTGTGTGATAGGCAACTCGCTCGCAGGTCGTTGCTCAGAAAACCTGGTCGGTGGTCGACTGAGCTGGTGGTTGTCAGGGTGGTGGTGGTGGTTGTCAGGGCGGTGGTGGTGGGGAGCAGTAGTGCAACGGTTAGCACACTGCACTGCACTCCACCCAGCGACCCGAGTTCGATTCTTGCTCACGGCCAACACCAGTGATGATTGTCCGAACCAGTCCTGGGCCTCCCCTAGGTTGACTCGGCCTCATAGGAGGTGCGCTACAAACATTGTCACTGGGGAGACAAAGGTGGCCGGCAGTGGTGCTGGCCACCGATCCCCTGTGGTGCCGTGCCGGCCTTCATAGGTGCTCACCACTAACAGCACTTGCCCCACCAGTCCGTTTAGTCTTTACGCGGGATCCTTGGCGACGCACGTGGCCTGTAACCCAGCACTGCGGAGGTAGCGAGGGCTGGTGGATCACTCCCTGCCTGTGGGCGTCGAGGAGCCATATGATGGCTTGCCAGGTGGTGGTGGTACAGCAAGTGGATTAATCTGCATCCTTTCCACCTGTACGGGATAGTGCTGTCCCTCCCACATGTACACTCATTACTCGGCTGAAAACATCTTTAAATGCACGATACAAGCGACGTTGTGTTTTGCAGACTGTGCAGTGTTGTGAGATGCACTTTGCATGAGCTATGCTGCTTGCGAAAGTCTATTCTGATTGTTAGGGTAATTTTGTGGTAACTGAAAGTCCTATGGATAGACTCTGGTCTGCCACAAGAATGTGGAATTTCCAGCATTGGCTTAGGGCTGCGAATAGAAGTTGAGCACCGGGAGCACTCTGATTGAGATACCGGTCCAAGTTGAATAACGTTCATTACCCAGTTAAATACCACCAGTCTCGGGTCTCCAATGCATGTTTCATTCCATGTGTATTACAGTGGAACCTCGGTATACGACCGCTTTGGTATACGTCATGTTTTTCGAGATAAAAAATGTCTTGGGATACGACGTCTTGCTTGGGATACGACGCGCTTGCTCGAACTTGTATGGGTCGGGATGAGTCACCGCGTACAGTATCCGCGTATGCCCCGTTCACGACTGAAACAAAGCGAGAGGGGCGGGGTGGCATGGGGGAGAGGGGCGGGGGAGGTGGGGGAAAATTCGTTTGGTTTCATTTTTGGTCTAAGTCCTACCACCTTCTGGAACGAATTAACGACGTATACCGAGGTTCCACTGTAGTGTATTTCACTCTGAATGAACTGTATGATAATTTTCATTTGGCATGATCCCAATTGCAATTCTTAAAACCCCACACGTCATCACCGCGCTTGGCATGTGCGCCGCTTGGCATGTGCACGGCGTGTAGTCGGGTGCCGCCACCTGGACAGCTTGGCGCAGCTTCTCAACTAAACCTGCTGCCAGGCTTCACCACGAGCATGGTCCCCTCCACCGTGTGGGTTTTCTCAAAGGAATTTCTGTTGTCCTCCCACACATGAAAATATTGAGTTCATAATTCACCAAATAAGTCACTCCTTGAAACGTGAACCCACCTGGCCTTCTGTGTGGGGCACATTCCCACATGAGTTCACAGGAATTTTCCACGTTGGCGACGAGGTGATGGTGTTGCCACTTTGTGCACGATGCTCTGCACGACAGTGTTGTGCCTGTGCACCGTGACGGTGGCGTGACGACGTGTGGCTGCAGGAGGGCTCGGACAGCATGTACGGCGAGTGTCTGCGAGTCTTCTGGACGTGTCCGCGCTGCGAGCTGCACATGCCGCTGACGCCGCTCGAGAGGCTGCAACACAGCGACGCGTGCAGCCGGGCGGCGGAGGAGCAGCAGCAGCAGCAGGGTGCGTGCGCAGCCGGTGCCTACTGCTGCGAGTGCTCACGTCAGTCTACTGCAGGGCCACCCTCGGTGATCTTGCTGGCCGAGGCAGGGAATGCAGACTCCTAATGTTTGTGTTGGAGACTTCTGAGCAGTACGGTTTCAAATAAGTACCTGGGGCGGTGTGTAAACATCACCACTGGGGAGACAAAGGCGGCCAGGCGTAATGCTGGTCACCCACCCCCTCGTGTGCTGTGCCGGCCTTAATAGGTGCTCGCTAACAGCACTTGCCCCAATAGTATGTTAAGCCTCTACGGGGGTTCTCGAAGTTCTTAATGTTTCATGAGTGCTGCTGTCAAGGTCCACATTTCATACATTGCAATTTACTTAATTTGGAAAACACAAAGCAACATCGCCCCCTACTGCCAGACATGCAATCTGCAGGCCGGTGCTGGGACAGCCACCGCTGTCGATCCCCTTGGCTGGACTACAGCAAGGCAATGGTAGATGTAACAACAGGCACTTTGAGTTACTTAAGTATTTAAGAAAGTGCCCCTATCGTTATGCTTAACTACAGAGGTCATCGATTTCATGCATATTTTATATGGCTTGAATATTCAAGACAGATATACGGTTCATCCATCACATTGTGAGACTTTAAGATTCATGTTTTCCTCTGGCATTTTCTTAATCAACTTGACTCGTTTGACTTCACCGAGTCTCATCAGCAAGGTGCGACCTTGGAAACTAACGCCACTGGGCGTCCAGACTTTAAGGGCGGGAATTGCCACCCACTAACGATTTGGGTTTGCAATGACGCGTACATAACGCACTCGCCTGGCCAGTCTGCTGGAGCCGTGAGCCGAGGGTTGAAAATCCATATTTTATGGGCTGCGGTACTGCTGGACTAATCATTTGGCCCCCCCCCCCCCTCATCTTGATGTCTGTGCACCCGCGCGCGTTTCCTCTGCAGCCACGTCCCAGGGCCCCGGATGCACGGGGACAATGCCCGCACGCCTGCAGCAGCTCTACCACTGCGACGAGTGTGGGCAGGACCTGCAGCTCGCCCCCACGGAGATCCTCAAGCACAAGAGGAGCCACAAGGATGGCAGCGGACACGCCACCGAGAGCTCCCATCCGGTCAAATGTGCGGAGGCGGCTCGTGATTCCACGCCAGGATAGGAAAAGCAACTGGCCAAAACTTGACTGTCACCAGAGTCGAGAAGAGGAACGCTGTTGTCAGCCTAGTTTTTATTTATAATTAAAAGTCTTTTAATACAAATTCAGCTATGTATATAGATGTGAACCTCGCATGTGAAAGACTGATAAAATAAACATCTGTGATAAGAAGCCGTGCATCTCGAAGTCGTCGCGGTAACCTCGTGGTGTCACCACGGTATGCAGCCAACCGCGCTAATCGGAGGTGAGGGTCTCAGGCTCTCGGCCTGGAGAGTTCATGCCTTACCTAATTGTGGAACCATCAACCTCCACACAATCGCCATGTTATGCACTCTTACACCACGTGACAATTTAACTTGCTTGGCTGTGTCAGGTGGTGGAGGGGTTTCACTACAAACATTTGGCCAGATCATTGTGGCCTAAGCCAGAATTCTATTCTGGATTGTGATATTGGCTGCGAAACACCACGTGTTGAGTAGATGAAGCCTGTTTTGTATGACTGCTGCCTTGTTCACTGGGCACAGAGCTGGTAACGCTAGATCATACGGACAGATGCTGGTTTGCAAGCGCCTGGCTTCTTGCTCTGACGAAAAAATCAATAACGCAATCATAGCACACGCATCACAAGCTTTCACGAGTTGCCACCTTTCTCCGTGCCTCCCTCCACCTGAGGGCACCGCCGCGTCTCTCGGTGGCCCCCGAGCGTACCGTTGAACCCCCGCAGCCTGGCGACGCCGGAGATGGAAATTGCGATCGTTAACGCGCCCCTGGATATCGAATTCATCAGCTCCGGCTGCTTGCCGCTCGTGCGCTGCCTAATGATGACCGCACGCTGCCTAACGATGACCACGCATTGCCACGTCCGGATGCGTCCCGACGCCAGCCGATTTCGGCGGCGGCGTCTCCAAGGGGTGGTGGTTCGTGCATCCCAACAGCTTGTGGACCTCGACGTCACCTCGCCATTTCCCTACGCTCCATAAACATCTCTTCAAAGTGGCAACGTGTAACATTACACACCAACGACTGCACAAACTCGAGACTGTTTACGAGAGAGGATTTCATTGCACAGCCTTGGCCTCTTCAGGACTCCAGACACGTGGCTAAAAAACACAACTGGTATTGGTGAAACATCACAATGGTGAAAAATTACCTGAAAATTACTCAAATAGGATCATACACAGCATCAACACCCCCTACTGAGGAAACCTGGCAGAGCCCTCCTGAAAGAGAGTCATGAGACTTGGCGAGGCTTTCCTGGGTGACCATGTGGATGATAATATTTATTAAGGAGCCACGAGATGATACGTGATGGACAATGTCTCCGGAACCTCCGGTGGTGGGATGCAGCGACCGCCCCCCCCCCCCCCACCTCGACCACCTGCACGCCGGCACCGTGGGCCCGGCAAACCCGATCCAGGCCGTCGGGTTGCCACCCTCCTTTCAACTGCAGACCAAACCCAGAGACGTCTCTCGGTGAGCCGAGGTCTTTAAACCCTGGACAGCGAACAGTTTGACAGAATACTGAGAGATGTCGAGCAAATCAATCCACGCCACCCAAACCAAGATGCCAATGTCTAGACAGGTGGCAACCCAAACTAGACAGCCGCTGTATAACGGGACAGTATTCATTGCAAGGTTCACACTCCGTTCACGATATTAAAACGACAATACGCAGCTTTTAAATAAATGTGTTTTTTATATGAAAAAAGAGGAAAGATCTACCAAACCAAGAATGAGGTGCAGAAAGTAAAATATCCACAGCCATTGCAGAACAAGCTGGAAGTGAAGCCGTGAGCGTAGTTAATAAAAAGGTTCAGTGGCGCAGCCCGTCCTGGTGCCGGCTGCCAAAACGGGGCGGCCGCAGCAGCCCGCGGCAAACGCAGCGCGCGCACCGATACACGCGCCGTACCGACAGCACAACCACCGCGTCACGCGCTCACGACCACGACGTTAACCACCGTGTGGTTAGTTTGTTGTCCTTCCCCCGCACCTCCGATTAGCAAGGTTGGCTACGTACGGTGCAAAAGAAGTTCAACGTACATACATAACCAGGAAACCACTACGGTCAAATGTAGTTCATTCAACGCTGGTAAAAATGTACATTTCTCTATCAAGCGTTAGGTAGAAAAATGTGTTTTTTACCAACATTTTAATGTTGGCAAAAAAAATCTTAGTAGTACCGTTTGTATGCAAAACATTAATTTTGGCAAATATATATGAAGAGTTAGATGCCGTAAGACCACAAACGTTAGTACTGTGAACACAACTTGGACTGCACACCCCTCTGCTCCTCCTGGCAACATGACAAAGCCACGCGTGGAGATGCACCGACTGGGAACGCGAACCGCCCCGTCCCCTGGTCCAGCCGCCGCGAGTGGCTCTCACGGGGAGGGCTTCAACGCGCGGGTCGACACCCCCCCCCCCCCCCCCCATGGTCACGTGGTGTTTGTTCATTCGCGGTATGAATGACACCGAGCGCCAACACTTGCGTTTTACTTTTTGAGTTTCAAATTTGTGAGTGTTTTCATGTTTTTATTATAATTATTTTGCAATTGTTACAGTAGTTAATTTTTAACCACCGCAGCACCCACGTTAGTGGCAGTGCCAGGCGTGTGCAGTGTTAAGAGTACAGTATTGCAAACAATTCTACATTTGCAGATAATTTACAAGTTTGCTTGATCTGCTGTTAATGCAGGAATCCCGCATTTAGAGGTTTCGAGCTCACTGGGACCCTCCTGCAGTAATCAAGTCGACTGCGGCGGTGTTGTTCCGCGATCCGTGCCACCGCAACATACGGTCAGTGTTTGTCGCTCGCCAGGAGGATCCTGGGCATTAAGGAATTCAAATTAAAATTCCCTGCGCCGGCAAAGGCCAGCCCCCCTCCATGGTCCCTCTCCCAAGCACCGACACTACCAGCGCAACCTCGAATGGAAACACATTTACATTATAAAAAATACTACAAAATATCCAAACACGGTTGTAAAAGCTTTTCAAAACTATTGACAAAATCCCTTATTGAGCTACTGCACATAAAGTACACTTCGTCATTAAAATCAAGAACCGCCACCCATTACGTACCACATGCCTTATGTGCATAGACCTGATCATCTGTAGTATTAGCTGCTATACCATGTGACTGAAGAACGAGAAGTTAATCGTGGACACTTTGGTAAGTCAAGGACAGCGTAGTGCTGTGCGTATCAATGCGAGTACCACCGTGCACTGGACCGGGTGGATTTGTGTCTCCGAAACGTTACGGCCGTCGGCTCCCGCACACAGCTGTCACTAGCAACTGCGTGGGACGTCAATTACAGTAATTAAATTGCTTTCGTCAATTAGTGTTTTAACAAAATCACAGGAGAACGCAATGTTTTCATTACTACAGCAGTGTGGCGCCGCTGCCTCTGCTACAGCAGCAGCGGCAGCGTGGTGTCGTGACAAGAGCGGAGAGGCGGTCAGAGCCCAAGCCGTCGCACTACACGTACTGGAGTTAATTAAACTTGGTTGTAAGCCTGCTGTACGGGAATGATCGATACCCCTAGATTAATCGCACAAAATCAACAAGGGTTACTAATTTATCTTATTGACAAAATCCATCACTACAGCCCTAGAGCGTTTTTGAAATAATGCCACAAAAGTAATGATACCAATGCGGAAATTATATGGGCAGTGGATACGCTTGCACAGCTACCGCACGTACAGCCGTAACAGAAAACAAGAGAGCGAGTCGAGCTGGAATCTTTAAACACTGTACAAACGTGGTTCCCTTCGCGCGGTGGGTTGGCGAGACTCCGAAGCGGGAGGAGGAGATTGATACGCACGGCGCCGAGTGTCCCGGACAGTCCCTGGGCCACGGCGTTAGGGGGGCACGTAGGTGGGCAGCGACTTGACGGGGTGGACGCTCTTGGGGTGGCACCTGCGGCTCTCCTCCACGCTGGCGAAGGGCGGGGGGGGCTGGTACGGGGGCACGCTGCTCCCGCCACCGTCGTCCCGCAGAGGGCGCAGCTCCTCGGGCAGTCCCCCGGGGAACGTCTGGCCCGAATACTCGGGGGGCGAGAGCGGGGCGCGCTCCTCCGTGAGGATGAGCGGCATGCTGGAGGACGGCGCGGGCTTCGCCTCGTCCAGTTCGTCCGCGAAGATGATGGGGACGCCCTTCTTGATGAACGTCGTGTGCTCCTCCAGGGACATCTTGCCCCGGCGCTTCCGGCGGTAGCAGACGAACGCGACGACGCCGGCGATCAGCAGCAGGAGGGCGACGGCCACGGCCGGGATGACGGTGTGGAGGTAAGCGTCGTCCTGGCTCGAGCTCCTGGGCTCGTTCTGCGTGGGGGGCTCGGTGGCGCGCGCCACCGCGGGCTCCCACGGCGCCGTCGACAGGAAGTTCGCCCCCCGGCAGCCGTCGGTTCCCTTTATTCCGACCGCCACCGCCTCGAACTCGGGCAGCATGGCGGCGCGGAACTCGTCGCGCGGCCTGCCGTCTCCCGCGTGCATCTTGCCGTACAGCTGTCGCACTTCCGCGAGGGGGCACGGCTCCGCGGGGAGGGAGCCGTTGCTCCACGTCACGACGAGCGAGCCGTGGCGGAGCCCCTCCAGGGTCAGCACGCTGGCATTCTTCTCGCCGAACGCCTGAGCCAGCTTCTTCATCAGCTTCACCTTCAGAAAGAGGCTCTTGGACACCGCGTCGTAGTCGTTGGCGAACGTCGCTTCGAATTTCACGCTCGATTTGCCGCCGTTGGGTTTGTCACGAACCACGATTTCGAAAGCGTCGGAGACGAACTTGCCGCCTTTGTCGGTGGCGGTCAAAAAGAACTCGTGTTTGGCGATCTCGTCGTCCGGCGGGAGCCCGAATAGCACCCGGCTGGCGCTGTTGAGCTGCACCCACGCCGAGTGGTCCACGTGGGAGGACAGAGACAGCTTCAGCTTGTCGGTGGGGCCGTCTTCCGCGTCGTAGAACGTGTCCACCGGGATCTTGTACTCGAAGTAGGTTCCCGCGTTCACATCCAGGCGGTCCACCGGGTTCTGCAGGTAAGGGACCTGGTTGGCCGCGGGCCTCGGCGCGGCCTCGTCGGGCTTCTGCACGCGGGGCCTCTTGGAGCGCGGCGGCTTGCGCGTGGCGGCGGCGGCCGCGGTGGCCGCGGTGGTGGTGGCGCGCCGAGCGGAAGGGGCCGTGGCGGCCTCCGTCTTCCGGGAGACGTCGGGGACGGCGGGAGGGGCGGGCAGGAGCGTGGGCTCCGCGGTGCCGGGCAGTGTGGCCGTGGGCTTCACGGGGAGCGGTGCCGTGGCCGCGCCGCCCGCGGCGAAGCGGTCCGGCCAGGCGGTTCGAGTCGTCGGCAGCGGGGAGTGCGACGGCTGGGAGGGCACGACCCGCGCGGGCGGCTCCTCGGGCTGGGGGTGCCGGGTGGGGGGGGCGCTCGTCATCACCGGCGTGGGCGTCACGTGCGGCGCACCGCGCCGCACGCGCTTCCCCGCGGGCGGCTTCTGGTTGGCGACGTACCAGCCGAGCACCGGGAATCCCAGCGCCGTCGCCATGGCGCCCTCCTTGGCCGGCTTCTCCACGGCCACCAAGCTGGGCACCGAGGCCTCGCCGAGGCCGCAGCCCAGCAGCCAGGACAGCGTGGCGCCGTTCTCCACCATCTTCTTGGCGTTACCCGGCCCCGCCACGAAGGCCGACATGTCGAACAGCTTGTTGTTCCGCACGGGCAGCAGCCTCATGTCGTGCATCGCGACGCCCGAGAAGGCGGTCATCCCGTCGAGAAGCTGCGTGCGCCGCGCGAGCGCCAGCTTGTCGACGTCGGCGTCGATCACCACCGTGAGCACCGTGTGGGGCTGGCCCGGCTCGCACGCCGCCGCCGGCGCGATCGAGTTGGAGAAGGCCGCGGGGGGTCTGGCGCCGGCGGAGCTCTCCTCGGGCAGGACGGCGATGGAGAACACCTGGCCGGGGCTCGCGTCGTGGCCGATGGAGATGTGGTAGACGCCAGTGTCGGCTTCCAGGGGGTGGCCCAGCAGACGGCCGGCCCGGGGGTCCCAGTGCAGCCACCGCGGCAACGCGTCACTCCCCACCTGGTAGACCTGCGAGCAACGGAGACAAACATCACCCGTGTAGCCTTAATGGACTGTTGGGGCAAGTGCGGTAAGCGAGTAGCACCTACGAAGGCCAACATGACACACGAAGGGGTGGGTGGTCAACACCATGCCCGGCCGCCTTTGTTTCCCCAGTGGTGATGTTTACACACTACACCAGGTACCCATTTGAGGATGAGTCGACCTAGAGGACGCCCAGGACCAGTGAAGATAATCCCCACTGGCGTTGGAATGTTGGCCGTGAGCGGGAATCTAACTCGGGGCGCCGAGTTCATAGCACGGCGCGCTAACCGGGACGCCGCCATTCCCCACACACAAGGACAAAACAAGCACTCGCGCACACACACGCATCGTTCTTCTGAGCCATCCAACTTGTATTGATTGACTGCCCAAAAAACTCCGAGTCTAATATGATTGAGGGGGTGCGGAGTTGTGTGGATTGGGCTGCAGTGTGCCACGCATACAGAGCGAGCAATGCACTGCACCTTGCTCTCGAGCAATTCAATCTCCATGCTGTACAGAGAGCGGTACACGCACACGACACACGATCTGCAGAAATCCGAAATGCGCAATTCTCACAGCCACGACACGATACAAGCGGAGGAATCGATTTGACTTATGAACCGTTGCGTTATTAGCCTGACTGCCACGCTCCACCGGTCACCACCGTTAAGTTATTCAGCACGAACCATTAACCGCTGCCCACGCTCGCGTGAGCAACGTCCCACCGCCGCCCCCGCGCCGCGCGCACCTGGACGGACGCAGTTGCCCTCGAGCAGCGCGGGGAGATGGAGCTCAAAGCCCTGGCCGGCGCTCGTGCTCAGGTCGGGCACGGCCCCCGCCACGTCCCCCGGCCCCCCCGGCCCCCCCGGCCCCCCCGGCTCCGCGCGAGGCAGCGGCTCCTGGCTCTGCCACTCCGGCCTCCAGTCGAGGGCCCGCAGGCTCGGCTCGGGGAACGAGTCGGGCCCGGCGCGAGCGAGGAGGAGCTCGCCGGACCGGCTCGGCTCCTCCGCGTTCCCGGTGCCGGCGCCGGCCTCATCGAGGCCGAGCGCGACGAGCGCGACGAGCAAGGCGAGCGGACGGGCCATGGCCCTGTGCGTGACGGACACGGCCCGAGGGCGGCTGTCCCCCACGCCGTCGCACCTCGGAGGCAACCGACGTAGATTCTGAAATGGAGAGGAGGGCGCGCACAATAGCACAACATCAGAATTGGCCGTAACATGTTTAAATAAAACTACAAACGTTTTCTAACTTGCCCATTGAGGGACGCACTTTCGCCGTGCTCTTCTGTGGAATTGGTGTTTGTCTTGCGATTGTGAAACCTGTATTTTAATTCTGAGGGCTGGAATGCAACCAACATATGTGACAGCCATTGGTGATTGGGCCGAGATAATTAGCGGAGTTGAGAACGAGGATTAATCGTGGGCGGCTGAACCAAGATTCAAACCCAGGTCCTCAGCGGCACCAGCTCAGTTCTCTATCCTTTGAACCACCTGGACACGTCTTTTGTCCTGCAGATGCCTCTGGGGTGCCTGTGCTGCTGAGGAATATGCCGATACTCATTTATAACATGGACTGCCCCACACTCATCACACGTGGAGGGACGATGGGCGCACTGCCACAGCCCGGGCAAGCACTCTGTATCAGAACAAAACCTCCGTCATATGGGTGGAGATGATCAGGCAAAAAGACAAAGATCCCTCGTATAGCCTTAAAATTATGTTGTGGAAAGTGCTATTTGCGTGCACCTATGAAGGCTGGCACAGCACGCAAAGGGATGGGTGAGCAGTGCCACGCCCAGCCGCCTTTGTCTCCCGAGAGGCCCAGTACCACCGGTTCAGGTAGTCGACACTGGTGTTGGCCATGAGCGGTAATCAAACTCTGGACGCGGATTCGTAGTGCAGCACGCTAACACACGTACACACGTGAATCGGGTCTCTGTGTTCAATCGGGACAGGGCTTTGTGTACCATTAACCCAGGTGTTAACAATTAATCAGGTGTAACAATGCACACAAGCATGCTGTTGAGAAGTGAAAAATAATTAACCATTGTTGCTGGAGGGTTTCCAAGGCAATTGGTTTAGCATTTAGCTGCGCTCAGCAGCACGCTCGGCTCTCCACTGCGCAGGAATTCCATGTGGCCTCGGAGAGGTTCTGCGTCCGCTGCAGCTGCACAGCCGCGGCACAGCCTCCCGAGCCGCACCGCGTGAGCTGCGCTTTCCCCCGTGTGCGGTGGGAGGAGGAACGACATCAGCCACGGCTTCCAGCAACAGCCGCTCCACTAACCACATCGCTAGCAGCACCACTCACCGCATCGCTGGCAGCACCACTCACCGCATCGCTAGCAGCACCAATAACAGCACTCCTAACCGCATTACTATCCCCACCACGAACCACATCATTGACTGCACTGCTAACAGCACCACTACATGAAATTGACTGGGCGAGGCTGGTGGAGACTGCAGTAGGCTCCCACACACGACCACGACTCTCACTCACGGAGCGAACCCGCGAGCCTGTTCAGCTCCAGTAATTAACCTGTGTGTGATGCACTGAGTCACGCCAGCCGATTCCTAACCCTCCGAGTGGGTGGATGGCACGCGAATGTTAATCATCACTGAGCGCGGTATTCAGAACAGCCTGGAATCGAGTCAAAACTCGTTTCCGAGAGGGTGGTTCTGGTAACATTAAGTGTAAAAAAGTGGGCGACAGGTTGGTGCATTGGTGATACCCGTGCCTCACAACAAGAAGTGCCTGGGTTCGATTCCCGAAAAAAACACACATTTAAACTGGTATTGACCAAACATCCCAATGCTGAAAATGTACCTGCAAATTACTCGATTGAGTTATCACATAGCAGAAACGTGGCAGCACCATTCGGAATAAGAGTGTAGAGACAGCGAGGCTTTCCTGGGTAAACAAGCAGAATAAAAAGAATGACCGAGTGACTCTCTTGTGCAGAACCTCCAGAACAACTCTCGTGACACGTATGCAGCTCTGCTAGCGAATGATTGGATCGTCTTCCTGATAGAAGTTAACGGAAACTCTTATGAATCCACAATCGCTTCATCCAGTCACAGCCATCTCTCCATCTTTAGGTGTTGCCGGCCACCTAATCAGAAAAAACACCGAATCACTTCAATTATCTAAACCACAAAAACCACCAAACCCTCCTCAAACATTAAAATCACCAAAATTCACCAAAACCACCCGAACCACCAAACCCACCTGTAACCTCACAGTAACCTTCCACCCAGCTGAGAGCCCCGTCGCCGTCACTCACGCTAACCTTTACGCCCATGTGAACCATGGCCCCAATTACAACAACAGCGATGGCGCGCTCGCTGAAGGAGCGATCACGCCGGAGGACGGAGGAGTCACAGGGACGCGTGGCAAGACGCTCGCTCGGCAATTCACGATCTGTAAGATTTTGCAATGGAATTGTTTGAACAACGAAACAATAAGGGTAATCATTCAACGTGCCAGTCGATCGCCGTTCCGGTGACGCTTGCCGTTCGATGGCAGGACGAGGGAATGAAGCGGTAGACAGAACCGCGTCACGTGATCATTTGCCACGTATTACTTCCCACATTTTGCGTCATTTAAAATCCCGCTCATGCGTTTTCGCGGTCGTTTTCACGCGCGTTAACTTGCAAGGCATTCACTGACAATATCTATTAGCAGCGCGATACACAGACGATTTGGTTTCTAAACCACGACCCTGGATGCTTCAATTACCGACGCATCAATTCACATCAACTCATTTGTGGGGCAAGCTTTGAAACGCGACTCCTCCCGGGACGCTTTGGGAGAACCGGGGGAGTTCCTGCAGGAGGATCCGGATGATCGATGGGAACAACTGCACAGACGGGGCGCAGGGATGCTCCCTCTACACGTGCCTCGTATTGAAAGCGACTCCTCTCTTGACAAAATGTAATCATTTGCGTGATTGCGGAGACTACAAATAACAAAACAACTAAGCAGACCATACGCCTCCTTCACATAGCTGTCGCTCCACATAATTGTGTAATAAACTAAGACATTTCGATCGGAGGTTTTTGTTTATTTTATTTTTATTAATTTGAACATATTTATTTGTATTTTACCGAAAGACCCAAAGAATATGAATTCCTGCAGTCACGAAAGCTTTAAGCATAATTATATGCTTTATTTAACATTTGCCATCAGTCACATGGTCTTCTGGGAGTGCGTAACATCAGCAACACTAGTTCAACAATAGCAATGTCTCATTAGCAGAGTCAGGCTGTAGAAACAGGCATGACGTGTATTTTACTACCAATATTGTTATTGTGCCTGTTACCCAGGAAAGTATCACCAAGTCTCAAGACTCTTTCTGGAGGATCCTGCCAGGCTTTCACAGTGGGGGTGACATCTCTATGTATGTGTAATCCAAATGAGTAATTCTCAGGTAATTTTGCAGCATCGAGTGGGGAAACTGGAGGACACCCATGCAGAACAGAGGGGGAGAACATACAAACTCCACACAAAAAATGTCCGAGCTGGAATCGAACCCGGACGCTTCTTGCTGCGAGTGTTACCACCGCGTGACCGCCGCGCCGCCCTGCCACCCTCCGCGCTGGAGACAAACTGTTGCGCAACAGCGTGATACCTGCACGGGGCAACAGGGAGGACATTAATCGTTCCGCTCACTTATACGCGGAACTTCAGTTTTACTCGTACGAGAGGAGGACAATCGGAAGTGGCAATGTGGGCGGGACGCTCGTGACGACACCTCGACAGCTCGGCGCGCGAGGAAGCACCAGGGAGAGGCCTCGCACTCACGTTGACGTGCGGGGAGGGTGGCCCGGTCGCGGTCGTCAGCCACGGAGAAGCCTTGGGCCCAGCCCCCTCCCTCCCTCCCATGACCCTCCCATGATGCACGAGACTTTCCCAATGCCGAACCTGCACCGAGCAGGGCCAAACTCGTTCTCCGCACAGCAAGGAGGCCCGGGTTTGCAATCACCCCCCCCCCCCCCCGGCTCCAGGCCGGCGTTGCTGTAAAATCTGCGGAAATCCCCGAGGCATTCTGCACGAGCGCGTTGGTCCCCGCCGCACACCACGGACAAACGAGGGAGCCGTACCGAGCAACGAGGAATGATTTCCTTCACATTCAGTCAACTTGAATATGTAATCAATGCTGGGGCAATTCCATGCAGGTTTATCCCAAAGACCCGATGTTACTTACGGCAGTGAAGTCCATCAAAGAAGCACTAAAAATTCCTAAGCTGTTAACATCGTTGTTCGTAATGAACGCATCTCATAGTGGTTGAATATCTTGATTTACTCGATGAGGCTGCAAGACTCATGATAAACGATTGACAATGGAATAAACTTTTCACCTAAGCGGAGGCCAGCCGAACACTGCACATAAAAGAGAGAGGAGGGACGAGGACATGGTGGAGGAGACCCGGCAACTGCACTGACCTCACCGACAAAGACAAAGTGGCAGCCCCCCACACACCGCAGTGCGACCGCCGACCGTCCCAACAACGCCAACCGCTCCCGCGCAGCACCAACGCTCCCGCCGTCCAGGAACGGTGGATTCTAGGACAGCGCTCGCATCACCGGGGCCGGACACCACAACGAGATCACGGCGTCACATTCCCACGATCCCTGCCCCGTGCCCCCAGCGGGAGAGACGGTCTCGGCTCCCAGAGAGAGAGAGAGAGAGACAGTCTGCCGGGCCCAGTCAACCGGGCTGCTTCCTAAGCTCAGGAGGTCGGGTCGGTGCTGCCAGGTTCGTCGTTGCGCGTCCCCCTTCGTGCCGCTGGCCCCGGCGTGACCTCGGGGGCAGTGGGCCCCACGCTAATATGCTCCACGCTGCGAGCCACACTATGCGGCTCCCGCCCGCTCCCCTGGGAGAGATGAGTTTTCGTGGGAGGGCATCACTCCTTGTTTGCTCTGTCGATGCGCTGCAACTCGTGAAGTGAGCGGAGCTACCAACGCTTGGGAGGGCCGGGGACGGTTTTGCCCGAGCTGGGCGAGTCGTGCCGAGCGGCCACCGTGCAACAGGGAGGCCCATCCTGTCCAGGCCACCATTCGTGACCAACTGAGCAACATTTAATACAGAACAATAAAGTAATTGATAATGCGTAGCGCTCTTGAATGGCATCATTGTAATGCCAGTGGCAATTCCTCAGGTAAC